AAGGACTGACATCTCCATTGCCAGAGCATATTGCCATTATATACTATACTCTCTCCGTTTTAACCTTCATTTAGTTCTAATTCTATAAAAACTATATTCTTACTTCTCACCATCGGTTCTTACACTGATTGCCTCTAGTCATTTTGGTTGTATGATGTTTATTCTTTGATAGATTCTTTCAGGGTTTATGTAATTAAGATACGTTGAGTTCTTGTATGTTGATAACAGGCGGCCTGTCTCCAATTATAAGTGAAAGTTAGTTTTGTTGGGATTAAAATTCCAAGCTCACTTCTTTTTTTAAGTCTAAAAATTTCTCTAGAATACACTTTGGTGTTGGTTGTTCAGGCTTAATAGTCTCAGGCATGTGATGTACTCTATCAATATGTAGTTTCTATTATTACTGTTATTATTAATTTAGAAAAGTTTCTTGAATCATTTTGTTGGTATTTGTTCTGTTTCCTTGCTTTGATTTTCTTCTTTAGGGGCTCCCATCATTTGTATATTTTATTTTATTTTATTTTTTGCCTATGTACAATATTTGTCACATCCTCTTGAATCTTTAACAATTTCTTTTTTTTTTTAATTTTAGATATTCCATAATCTTCACCTACTTTTCATAAGGTGTTATCTGTTGTGTTTATTCAGTCTTGTGCTTCTCCTGGTTAAGACTTCTTTTTTTCTTTTTTTTTTTGGGCCCTGCCTCATGGCTTGCAGGATCTTAGTTCCCTGACCGGGGATTGAACCCCAGGCCCCCAGCAGTGAAAGTGCCAAGGCCTAACCACTGGACCACCAGGGAATTCCCAAGACTTCTTTTTTAAATGATTTTTTTTTCCCATCGTAATTCATTCCTGGGATCAGTTTCATGTTTGAACATTAAACCAACCTTACATTACTAGAATAAAGCCAATTTGATTGTGATATATTATTGTTTTACATATCATGGATACAGTTTGTGCTTTTGTTTACACATTTTGCATGCATGTTCAAAAGAGAAACTGGCCTGTGATTCTATTCTTGTAATATTCTTTTTAGTTTTGATCTGAAGCTTATGTTGGGCTTATAAAAATTCTGAGCAATATATTCTTTTCTGTTTCCTGGAAGATTTTTATGTAGGATTACCACTATTTCTTCCCTAAATATTTGGAAGAATTTATCCAAATATTTATCCCTGGAAATCATTTTCTGTAAAGGTACTTAATTATACAAACAACTTTTTGAGTAGATATAGATGTTTTAGATATTTTTTCTTTCTTGGGTTAGTCTTGTTAGGTTGCATTTTTTAAGAATTTATAATTTTGGATGAATTTTCAAATTTATAAATAAAAAATTATCATAATTTTAACAGTTTCATTGGGATATAATTTACGTACCGTAATTTCAACCCTTTAATGTATACAATTCAGTGGTTCTTAGTGTAACCACTAAAAGACTTGTGTAACAATCACAACAATCCAATTACAGATTTTTGTCCCCCCACAAAAAAACCCATTACATATTAACAAGGTTTTTTCATTCTCCTCAACCCTCTCAGCCCTAGGCAACCACTAATCTACTTTCTGTCTCTACAGCTTTGCTATTCTGGGCATTTCATATAAATGGGACCATACAATATGTGGTCTTTTGTGAGTGGCTGCTTTTACTTTACATAATGCTTTCATGGTTCATCCATGTTGTAACATGGATCAATATTTCATTCCTTTTTATAGCTGAATGCTATTCTATTGTACGGATATTCCACATTTTGTTTATTCATTTATCAGATTGGCATTTGAATTATTTCCACCTTTTGTTTTTATAAATATGCTTCTATGAACATTCATGTACAAGCTTTTATGCAGATAATAAGCTTTTATTTCTCTTAAGTATATATTTAGTAGTGGAACTATGACTGCTATGACCCTATGACCCTATGACTGCTGGGTCATAGGGTAACTCTATGTTTAACACTTTGAGGAACTGTCCAGCTGTTTTGTAAAATGGCCGCACCATTTTACATTCCCACCAGAAACGTATGTGGGTTTCAATCTCTTGTCTTAAGGCCTAGCATGTCATCTATGCTGGAAAAGGTTTCACATGTAGTTGAGAAGGATGTGTATTTTACTGTTCGGTTGAGTGTTCTATAGACATTTATTAGGTCTTGTTAATTCATAGTGTTGTCCAAGTCTTCTATATCCTTGTTGATCTTCTGCCTAATTGTTCTATCCATTATTGACTGTGGAGTACTGAAGCCTCTACCTAATGTTGTGGAATTATCTATTTCTTCATTCATCTATTTCTATCTATTTCAATTCTTCATGTATTTTGGTATCTTCTTCATGTATTTTGGTTTTATCTTATTCAGGTCACATATGTTAATAATTTTTATATCTTCCCTTTTTTTTAATCATAAAATGTTCCTTTTCATATCTAGTAACTTTTTTTTGTTTTAAAGTCTATTTTTTCCGGTATTAGTATAGCTACTTCAGCATTCTTATGGTTGCTATTTGCATGATGTATATTTTTTCATCCTTTTACTTTGTACACATTAGACCTTTGAATCCAAGGAGTGTCTCCTATAGAAAACATTTTTTTAAACCCAGTTTGACAATTTCTGCCTTCTTTTGATTGTATTGTTTAATTCATTTTCATTTAGTTTTTATTATTATATGGTAGGATTTATTTATGTCTATCATTTTACCTTTTGTTTTCTACATGTCTCATGTTTTTGTTTTTTTGTTATTGTTCCTCCATTTTCCTTTTATATTAAGTGGATATTTTCTACTGTAACATTTAATTCCTTTAATGATTTTTAACCACATTTTTGAGTAATGGCTGCTCTAGGGCTTATGTAATACATCTTCTCAAAATCTCTTCAGATTTATACTAACTTCATTCCAGTGAGAAACAGAAACTGTACTTTTATAGAGCTGCGTTACTTCTCCTCTTTTTTGTTTTTATTACATTTATATATGTTACATACTTAACAACATATTATTATAATTATTACTTCACGCAAGCTTATCTTTTAAAGGAGCTTGGACACTGTGTAGCTACGAAGAAACCTTTTGTCTAAGGAAACTAACTAAAGAAACTTGAGAGTGGAAAAAGAGAGAAAGAATGAGAGAATAAATACCCTTCTCATGGTGACTCATTCACTTATTCGTTCATTTACCAAATATTTACTATGTGTATGGTACTGTGCTGAAAACTGCACAGAACACAGAGATGTACCTCTGTTCTCAGGGAGGTTAGAGACCAGAGAGGGAGATAAGATGTAGATGCCTTATGGCAGTTCCATATATGTCTTGTTAAACTGTTTACAAGTTCAGGGGAGAAAAGGGATCCATATCTTGCTTGGATTCTCAGTGAAGTTTTCCCAGAGAAGGAGGTGTAAAATAGATTGACTAGAAAAAAAAATTAATGTAATAGGTAGGTATGAAAGGGAGCAAAGATGCAGAGACAATTAGATCCAGTTATTTTTTTTAAAGTCTAGAAAGTGAAATTAAAGTCAAATTATGGAGGGTCTTGAATGTCAATCGTAAGAGTTTGGCTGTATTGTGTTGGCAATGGGTGTCATGGACGGTTTGGAACAGGGCAATGGCATAATCCAAGAACCTTAGGAGGTGTAATAGAGGTTGTAGGGAGGAAGATAGGAAGACATGCTATTCTCCGAAGCAATCATCGCAATCCAGGTATAAAATAATAAATGGTAGAACTGGAGTAATGGCAACACAGATGGAAGGGAGGAGTATGAGAGACCCTATAAAGAAAAACTGTCAGGGCTTGGTCATTGATTGGATACATTCATTTATCCATTTAACAAAGGTTATCAGTAACTGTGCTAGTCGCTGGGGATGCAAGAGTAAGCAAAACAGACATGATTTCTTCCTCTCGGACCATACGGTAAACACCTACCTAAAACTGGATGTGAAATGTGATGAAGGCTATAAGCGAGAGGTACGTGGTGTTATGTGAGCTACGGTAGGGGGATGTGATGAGTTGAGTAGGTAAGGGAATACTTTCTTGACAAAGTAACACATGAGAAAAGATGAGAAGGATGAGGAGGCATCAATCAGTTGCAAACTAAACAGAAGGACTTTTCATGCAGAGGGGCAGCATGGGCAATGTGCCGTTGTAAGTATGCAGGCCTGAAAGGAGGCCACTGTGGGCTGGATGATTGAGAATGAAAGGAAGGAGGTGCAAGACGAGGCTGCAGAGATCATGCTCCATCCTGCCAAGGGGATGCCCTGCCCTGCAGACTAGTGCACCCAGAGTGCCAGTGCACAACAAGATGAGAAGCTTGCTCTAGAATGCAAGTCAACACACTGTTTCTTTCATCAAGAAAGTCTTGCCTGTTAAACTAAACAGTATATATCTAGTGGAGGTATGATTTACATTCTGAAGCAAGGGCCTTATCTTACAGAATGGCAACAGTTCTCAACCGGCAGCCAGCCTGTGACTCCACATTTTAGACCACTGTGAGGAGGTCTGTCTTTATCCTAAGAGCAATGGAAAGTCACAGAAGGATTTGAAGAGGAGACGGTGGTGTCTGCGTCATGGAACGTGGATTGGAAGGCAGCCAGAGTCAGCAGAAAGAAGATGATGAAGTTTGTGTCTGAAACCTTACTTTCTTGGTGAAATAAGAGGTATCCTCTTCAGGTGAGAGAACAAGGACACACAACAGAGTCTAGTGGGACATGAAAAGAGTGGAGAAAGAGTCATTGTTAACAGCCATAAGTAAGGGAGTAGAAAAAAGAAATGGGGACCACATGTCAGTTAAAATAAGACAGCCTGTGTTGTTGACATAGCTCTGTGACTGGATCTAACAAACCCATTGCTCTGAAAGCAGGTCCAGAGAAGATGAATGTTAGAGATGAGTAGAATGCATCTGCAGTGAGGTTCCATGGGAAGGTAAAATGGTTTGGCAGTCTGGGTATAATGTTGTCATGATGGACCAGCAGTCAACTACAGGGAATCAGAGGTAAAATGATAAACTGTATTCTAGTCAAACTTACACTCACCAGAGCCCTGAAGGAGGAGAGTCCACATCTTGTACTGCCCAGTAGCCATGTCCCTCCCAGGGCAGGTACCTGCAGGGAAGCCAAGGCAGCTTGTCTTGGGCCAGGCATGGATCTGGCTTGTCAGAGGATCCCAGAGGTGGTATGGGGAGGCAGCTGTTGCTCACCATGTTCAGGGAAGCTGGAACACACCAGATGCTGAAAGGAAAACCAAAGCCACTATTAAGCCATAACTAAATGTTAAGGAGGGAAGAGATGATCAGGCAAGTCTTGACTGCCAGACAGAAAATAGGGAAGCTCGAGGAAAACACATTTTAAATTAATATGTTAGATGATTAATTAATATGATGAAGCTTCCCTGAAGTTCATCTGTAGGCAGTAGCCACAAGGTGCTAGTAATGACTTATATGGAGAATAGATGAGAAAGTCCCAGTAGTCATTAATCAGCACTTCCTCTGTACCAACACTGTGCTAGGCATAGGGAATATAAGGATGAATGAGACACTTTCCCTGCCTTCAAAGGGCTTATAGTCTGTGGAAGAAAAACTATCTAAAAAGATGCTTATCATTGGAGACACGAAGTATTATGATACAGGGATGTCAGGGAGCAGAGTAGTGAGGCACTAAACAAGCAGGGGAGGAGAGATGAGGGTCAGGGAAAGAAAGCCTCCCAGGGAAGCTGGCCCCCAACCTGAGGCTGGGAAACAGGCGGGTGTCAGCTTTCTGAAGAGCAAGCAGAAGAGGAGGGTCTTAAGTAAAGAAGCAGCATCTGTAAAGGCCCAGGAAGGAATGATAGAACATCAGAAACTACAAGCTGGTCCACATGTCTAGAGAAGACATTCAGGAAGGAGTGTAGCCAGAAGTAAGACAAAAGAGGTAGTCAAATCGTGAAGGAGCTTATATGCCAAGCTAAGGAACACAGATCTGATGCTGAGGACAATGAGAAATATGTGGCTTTCCAGGAAGGGGACACGGATTCGTGCCCCGGTCTGGGAGGATCCCACATGCCGCTAAGCGGCTAGGCCCGTGTGCCATGGCCGCTGAGCCTGAGCGTCCGGAGCCTGTGCTCCGCAACGGGAGAGGCCACAACAGTGAGAGGTCCACATACCGCAAAAAAAAAAAATAATAATAAAGACATCACCCTGGAGGGGGAAGTTAAGCCTGAACAGGAAATAAGATCACCCAGAGAAACTGTGAAATGTCCGAAGGGGTGGACACTGAGGATGGGAACCTAAAGAATACCTACATTGAAACTGGGTAAGCAAGAGACACCCAAGAGTGAGACTGTGAAGAAGGAATTAGAGAGGGATAAAAAAATCAAGTGGCTTGATGGAAAACACAGAAGAGGGAGCTTTAAGAAGACAGGAGACAACTACATTAAATGATGCTGGAGACTAAAAAAAATGGATGTAGCAACACAGAAATCATACTGACAAGGATTCCCACTCTCACCACTTACACTCAACATAGTTTTGGAAGTCCCAGCCGCAGCAATCAGAGAAGAAAAAGAAATAAAAGGAATCCAAATAGGAAAGGAAGAAGTAAAACTGTCCCTATTTGCAGATGACATGATACTACACAAAGAAAATCCCAAAGAGCCACCAGCAAACTACTAGAGCTCATCAATGAATTTGGTAAAGTTGCAGGATACAAAATTAATACTTAGAAATCTGCTGAATTTCTATACACTAACAATGAACTATCAGAAAGAGAAATTAAGGAAACAATCCCACTTACCATTGCATCAAAAAGAATAAAATACCTAGGAATGAACCTACCTAAGGAGGCAAAAGACCTGAACTCCAAAAACTATAAGACACTGATAAAAGAAATTGAAGATAACACAAACAGATGGAAAGATATTCCATGTTCTTGGATTGGAAGAATCAATAATGTTAAAATGACCATACTGCCCAAGACAATCTATAGATTCAATGCAATCCTTATAAAAATGCCAATGGCATTTTTTCACAGAACTAGAACAAAAAAATTTTTTAATTTGTATGGAAACACCAAAGACCCTGAATAGCCAAAACGATCTTGAGAAAGAAGAACAGAGCTGGAGGAACCATGCTCTTTGACTTCAGACTATACTACAAAGCTACAGTTATCCAAACAGTATGGTCCTGGCACAAAAACAGAAATATAGATCAATGGAACAGGTTAGAAAGCCCAGAAATAAACCCATGCACTTATGCCAATCTACGACAAAGAGGGCAAGATTATGCAATGGAGAAAAGACAGTCTCTTCAATAACTGGTGCTGGGAAAACTGGACAGCTACATGTAAAAGAATGAAATTAGAACATTCTCTAACCCCATATACAAAAATAAACTCAAAATGGATTAAAGAGCTAAACGTAAGGCTGGATACTATAAAACTCTTAGAAGATAACATAGGCAGAACACTCTTTGACATAAACACAGCAATATTTTTTTGGATCCATTTCCTAAAGTAAAGGAAATAAAAGCAAAAATAAACAAATGGGACCTAATTAAACTTAAAAGCTTTTGCAAGCAAAGGAAATGATCAACAAAATGAAAAGACTACCTACTGAATGGGAGAAAATATTTGCAATGGATATGCCCAATAAGGGATTAATATCCAACATATATAAACAGCTCATAAAACTCAACATCAAAAAAACTAACAACCCGATTAAAAAATGGGCAGAAGAACTGAATCGACATTTTTCCAAAGAGGAAATGCAGATGGCCAACAGGCACATGAAAAGATGCTCAACATTGCTAATCATCAGGTAAATGTAAATCAAAACTACACTGGGGTATCACCTCACTCCTGTCAGAATGGCTAGCATCAAAAAGAGCACAAACAACAAATGTTGGCAAGGATGTAGAGAAAAGGGAACCCTGGTACACTGTTGGTAGGAATGTAAATTGGTGCAGCCACTGTGGAAAACAGTATGGAGGGTTCTCAAAAAAATAAAAATAGAACTACCATATGACCCTGCAACTCCACTCCTGGGTATATATCCAAAAAAACCAAAAACACTAATTTGAAAAGATACACGTACCCCAGTGTTCATAGCAGCATTATTTACAATTGCCGAGATATGGAAGCAACCTAAGTGTCCATCAAGAGATGAATGGATAAAGAAGATGTGGTACATGTAACCAATGGCATACTACTCAGCCATAAAAAAGAACAAAATTTTGCCATTTGCAGCGACATAGATGGACTTGGAGGGCATTATGCTAAGTGAAATAAGTCAAACAAAAATAAATACTGTATGATATCACCTATATATGAAATCTAAAAAATACAACAAACTAGTGAATATAACAAAAAAGAGGGAGACTCACAGGTATAGAGAACAAACTAATGGTTGCCAGTGCGGAGGGGGAGGAGGGGGCAATACAGGGGTGGGGAAGTGAGAGATATAAACTACTGGGTGTAAGATAGGCTCAAGGTTGTATTGTACAACACAGGGAATATAGCCAATATTTTGTAATAACTGTAATGTAAAGCAACCTTTAAAGATTGTATAAAATTTTTTTAAAAAAGAAATCATACTGAAAATTGGAAACAATTTAAATGTCCATCAACAGGAAAATACACATATAAATTATTCTATTTCCCTACATGGGAATCTTACATAGCGAGGAAAGTACATGAACTAGACAGATCTTTATGTGTCACCATGGATGAACCTAGCAAAGATAACACTAAATAAAGCAAGTAACAAGAGAAAACATAGTAGAATACTATATGCTGTTTAAGAATACCTAAAAATATAGCATAAATCTAAAGACATCCATGGCAGTGATGGAGACCAAGTTCAGAAGAGTGGTTACCCAGGGTCAGCTGGGGAGTGGCTGTGTTTGGGAAAGTGGTCACACCAGACTCTTCAACAGGAATGGTAATGTTTCACTTCACACACTGGCTGGAGGACGGAGGAGTGTCTGCGATGTTATAATGTGAGCACGCTGCATGTGAAAGCCATTGCTGACCACATCTAGGGGATCTGATGCGCGGGAGATGGTAGTGGATGGAGGCATCCAGAAGGTGGTGGTAGAAGAGGAACGTTGTACACGTAACACCTAAGGCCTGACCAGAGGACGACCGCTGTTCTAGACACTGGATACGGTTTGGAGCATCCAACTTCTACGGCCAATGTTAAAAGACAAACTGAGGCATATTTAAAATTTTAAGAGTCTATTTGAGCAAAAATAGATTCAATTCAGGCATCACCAAACTGAAAGTGGTGAGGAGCACTCCAGCCACAGGAGCTGCAGAGGTTTTTATTTTAAAAGGGCAGAAGCAAAGCAAGTAAATTACTGACTTGCTATGGCTTTAAAGCCTAGTTGGTGGTTTGTGACTGGTTGTCCTTAGCGGTTTTCGTAATCCTGAGGCATTTACAGGCTTAGATTTTGGTTGGTTTATGCAGGCGGCCACATCACTAGTCTAACGGCCTCCTTGCAGGGTTAATTTATTAACACCAATTGTCTGAGTTCTTCCTCTTACTTAGTTACTTCACTTCCTACGCCTCAGTTTCTCTTTTGTAAAGTGGATATTCAGTAGTAAATTCTCTGTGGAGTTGTTAGGAAAACTGAATGATTTCATACTGAAACAGTGCTTAAAATAATGCCTAGGAGACAGAAAGTACTAGTTACCAGAGTTAGCCATCATTATCAGTACAAAACAAAGTGATTATTAGTAACCACGATCATGTCCTGAATGCATGGAACACGTGACCATTTGCCAACCACCTTGTCAAGTCAGCAGAAATTACAGAAATTAAGAGCTCTCCGCAGAAATTTACACACCCGTGCACGAGGTAAGGGACCACAGGCACTCAGCTTTTCAAGTGTCCCTCACGGAGTGCACGCTTTCTCCTGGGCGGGGCGAGCACAGACACTTATCAGGAGTTTAACTACTTTTAAAATGCATTGAGGGCTTCCCTGGTGGCGCAGTGTTTGAGAGTCCGCCTGCCAATGCAGGGGACACGGATTCGTGCCCCGGTCCGGGAAGATCCCACATGCCGCGGAGCGGCTGGGCCCGTGAGCCATGGCCGCTGAGCCTGCGCGTCCGGAGCCTATGCTCCGCAACGGGAGAGGCCACAACAGTGAGAGGCCCGCGTACCGCACAAAATAAAAAAAATAAAAAATAAATAAAATGCATTGATACAACCATATCTCACTTTTATTTGGATCAGTCAGTAAACGCCTTCTGGAAACCCCCAACTCTCCAAACCACCTACTTTTCGCGCTGCCCTAGTCTCGAAGCTCCCTCCCCTGCTCCTCAGGCCGGGTCCCCATGGGAGGCGGGGCTGCGTGCTGACGCACGACGAGCGCGCTGACGTCCTCTAGCCCCGCCCACACGGCGTCGCCAACCGGCTTGAACCGCAGCCCCGCGGCGCGGAGGGCGATGAGGCTGGCGCCAACTGCCTGCTCTGCGGCGCGGGAAGCGGCGCGGGAGCGCGGCATCGAGGGGCAGGCCTAGCTGGGGCCCGTAGCCCTCCGTCTTCTGGCTGGTACGCAGGTCCTGCGCACGCTGCGTGGCCGCAGCCGCCGGGCAGTGGGCGCCGGAGGGACCGGGAGGCGAGCCGGGGTCCCCAGGCGGGTGTGGGCATCGTGCCCGCAGCCAGCGTCCCCCGAGGCCGCGCTGGGGCCATGATCCACTCGGTGAAGCTGCGCCGCGATAGCGCGGCCGACTTCGTCTCGCACTATGAGTACCTGTGCGCGCTGCAGGACTCGGTGCCTCTGCCCGCCGTGCGCGCTTCTCTGCGGGGGGGCGTGCTGGACTTCAACGCCGACCGCCTCCGCGGGCTGGACTGGGCGCCGCTTCTGAGCACCCTCAAGATTAATAAAGATCTGCCCCTGATCTGTATCAGGAGCTTCTTCCAGCCATGGCTTGGCGAGACAGGTTTGTAGTTCCCGCTTCCAGGGGCTCTGGTGTCGGCGCTGCGAAGCGGGGTTTGATGGTGCAAGGTGGAGGGTGGGCACTAGAACCGGTGCCCAGTGCCCGGGTGTGCGTGCACCAGACGGGGCGTGCGGCCTAGGACTCCTGCGGAGTGCCTTAAGGCTTCTAGGTCTCAGTGTTCTCATCTGTATTATGGGCTTAACAGGACCCACTCTCTGTGGCGGTTACAAGGAGGCACTCTGTTAATGCTTGTAGACTCTACAATGTAGAACACTTAGCACAGTTTGGAGCATCGTTAATTGTTCCACAGATGTTACTTGGTCTGTTGCATGACTTTGTCCCGTACAGACCAAAGCGATTAGGAAATTGATATATCCCAGCTTCATTTCCTTTCCATTAAAACAGGGCTCAGGAAAAAAAAATTTTTTTTCAAAATAGTCGTATCATATAGTGGGAAGAGCACAGGTGTGAAGGCAGCTTAGGGTTTGAATTCTAGGGCTTATGCGCTCTGTGGCCTGGGCAGGTTACTTTTGAACTACATTCCTCACACTTGTAAAATGACATTAAAAACCACTCTTTATGTGGGTTCTTAGAATTAATGAAGTAGGTTATGTGGGTAAAGTATCCTGGCACTTGAATGAGTTGTCAGAACCAAGGGCTGCTGGAGACGATGCTTCTGCCATAGGTAATCTTCCCTTCTACTGGGTGGCAGGTAAACACAAGCACAGTAGTCAGTGCTCTGGAAGAAGTGAGTTCTGGTGCTAAAGAGCACAGAATCTTTCTTTTTTTTAATTTAATTTTTATTTTATATTGGAGGACAGTTGATTTACAATATTGTGTTAGTTTCAGGTGTACAGCAAAGTGATTCAGTTATACATATATCCATTCTTTTTCAGATTCTTTTCCCATACAGGTTGTTATAGGATATGGAGTAGAGTTCCCTGTGCTATGCAGTAGGTCCTTGTTGATTACCTATTTTATATATAGTCGTGTGTATATGTTAATCCCAAATTCCTAATTTATCCTTCCCCCCCCACCTTTCCCCTTTGCAGAGCACAGAATCTTGGAAGGGAAAGTTCAGGGTAGGCTTCTTGGAGGAGGTGCCATCCTTTCTAAGGATATGTAGAAGCTCCTGGGGTAGTAGGAGGGAGAAGTGTGTGTCAAAGTTTGAGAAATATAAGAAAAAATGGCAAAACTAAGGTACAGGAGTGGAACTCAGGGTTTGGGAAAGAAATGAGAGTTGATACTGGAAACCTAGTGGGGCCCAACAGAAAGGGGCCTTGTTTGTCCTGTCAGAAGTTTGGATGTTTATCCTGAAGGCTGAGGGAAACACTAAAGAACAGTGAGATGGACTTCTGGTTTAGAGGCTCACTCGGACCTCCGTATGGAAGGCAATTGATTGGGTGCAGGGTGAATTGTAATCTAAGGGTCCCACTTAAGTTATAAAAGGTGGGACTGGATTTTAGAGATCCGAGAGAGATTGGGTGGGGCCTGGTGACCAGTTAGAAAAGGGAGGGCAGCAAGTGTGGGTGACAGTTTACAGCTGCATCTTTTTGTGAGATACAGAGCACAGTAGGAAGGGATTGGGGATGGGGAGAGGATCTTACTTCATCTTCAGTGCTTTAAAGGGGCCTGGTAGATGGGTCTGGGCCCAAGGTACAGATCTGGGCTTTTTGGGAGGACAGGTGTTTGAAGGCATGGGAGAGACTTAGGTTACCCACAAGAAGATCCAAAGAATCATAGGTCTGAGAGTTTTTTAGGTGGGTATATTTGAGGATGTTTATAAGCTGAGAAAAAGTAGCCAGCAGAGGAAGGGTGTGAAGATCTAGGAGAGGAAGTGATTGTTCATTTGTTTTCAAAAACCTGAATACTTGTCATTTGCCTGGCCCTTTTCTAGGATCTGGGGTTCACACCATCTGTTATCTCTTCTTCAAGGACAGTTCAACTCATCCCCTGGTGAAGAGAAGTCAGATTATTCTTTGCATCCCATTCAGGTGTAGGAACTGTTCTGTACCTCTGAAGGGACTTTACTTAACCAGAGTACTAACTTAGAAATCAAAAGAAATTATAGCTGGAAGGGACCGTAAAGGCCACTGTACTTAATTTTGCCTAATATTTTACATTGAATGTAAGAAAAAGCAGAGCCCATTCTCTTCAGAGCTCCTTCACTGAACTTTCTTTATGTCTTGCATCCAGTGGGTCTAGCTTGTAGATTTTGGCCTCCTCCTAAATTTGCTTCTTCATCCATATTACATTTTGCCAGGACTATGGCAGAAGCTCCTAGGTGATTTCGCGGCCCCTGGGCTCAGTTCCTCTAAGTTCATCTGCCTACTTGGGTTGAGTGATCTTCTACAATAGAAAGATACGCTTAAAACAATGCTGCTAATGGCTTGCCCACACAGATTTAGTGCATACTAGCCGCCAGCGTGTGCTCTGCACAGAGGCGTGTAGTCTGAACTGTGCTCTTCCAAGCCTCATGGGGCTATTTGGCCCTGAGGAAGGGGAGCTTTCTGTGATCACTCCCTTTATCTAATCGGTCCTTCAGCAGCGGGGCGCCTTTTTCTAATTAGCGGAGGCACCCTTACTCAGCCAGTGGTAGCCCCAGGCCTCATCACCTGTGGGATGCAAGCCATGCTCTCTCCCAGGCTTGCTTCGGCCAACATCTCTATTTTAATTTCTGTCTCTTCTCACACTTGGACCCCTGGCCTTTAGTCATGCCCACCTGCAGTATTTACAGTGCCCAGCAGGTGTCAGGCTTGAGTGTCTTTGCACAGGTGCTCTCTCTGCAGTTAATGCACCTCCTACTGCAACTCTGCATAGTCTCATCTTTCTAGATTCTACTTCAGGGTTATCATGAAGCCATCACTTAGATATAACTTTTTGCCTCCAAAAGAATCTCTGTGCATAAAGGTTATGTTTCTTTATCTCATGTGATTGAAATTTTGAGTTTACACATGTCCCTCCTTAATCAAGGCTTTAAGGGCAGGAGTCGTTTCTAATCCTTAGCACAGAGCAGATGCTTTTTTTTTTAGGTGCTTTTTAATGATGATAAAATGTATGGTTTAAATCACTCATCTTACAATAATTTTGCTTTAGGTTCTGACAGAAATAAAGTTTACAGAAGTCGTGTTCCTGCGATAAGAAATAAAGATGTGACCTTCCAGTTGTGTAAAGCTCTTAAATGCTGTGTGAGTGCGTCGGGTGCGCTAAGGAACCTGGAGCTAAATGGGCTAGTTCTGAGAGAGAGAGACTTAACTATGTTAACAAAGGTAAGCCTTCATTGTGTCCTGCCAACATTTGATAGTTGCTTTTGGGGCATACTAAACCAATAAAATTTTAAACTTTTTCTCCCCATTAAAGGGATTGAATAAATCGGCCACTTTGGTGCACCTGTGTCTTGCGAATTGTCCAATTGGAGATGGAGGTTTAGAAAGTGAGTTTCAGTCTTGTTTAAGTCTCTTCCCATCAGACTGGTCTCATGATTTCCTACACACCATGTTACTTCCTGTCCACCTTTTCTTGCTGTTGTTCATGCCTGGATTGTCTCCTGTACCTGCTCAAACCTTGGTCCATTCTCGTTTGTACCATGGAAGTTTGTCATGCTGGATACTGTCACAACTAATATTACTTAAGTTTGTGTTAAGCCACAAACCACACATTTTGTATATTTTCTGTTTTTTGTGTTTGTTTATATTTTTATGGTTTCTCTTCAAGAAATATTACGCGAAGGGAAATAGCAAGATGTAAAGAGCAAAAAAGTCATCATTATCTTTAAATTGTTAAAACATCTATCTGCAATCATAATTATAATGCACTGTGGTATGTGTTAAAATAGGAAATATTTGTAACGTCCCATAGGAGCAGCAAACTCAGTGGTGTTGGCGGGGGTGTGTCATGGAAGTAATCACAAAGCAGGTGACTGTTGGTTGGGGTCCTGAAATATTAGTGTGTGTTCCCTGTGTCCAGTAGTGGTCTGGAGGGGTCAGGAAGCCTGCCTTTCAATTTGAGGGAACAGAGTGTTTGAGGTCCTCTATCTTCTATTGCTCTAGTATATTGCATAGCACCTAATAAGATACTAGATTTATAGTTGACATTTAAATTGTTGATTGATAATCAAGATTGGGAAGTATCATTGGAAATGAAAATCGGAAGAGTCTTATGCTTTTTAGGTTTTTCTTTTTCTTCCTATGTCTCAAAAGGTATGTAGTACTTTAGTGGTTGGGAATAAAGTTTGCAGTATTCAGTGTATTCAGTTTTAGTATCTAAATAGAATTAAACTGTTGCTGTAAACTGGAATAACACTTTGTTACTGACAAGTTTTAGAATGTATTGGTTCGTCAATTACCTGTTTGGGAAGATTGTAGTTAATGATTTCAAGAATGTGGCTATAAACCTCCAATTGACTCAAGAAAAGCAAATAAGTCAAGATTGACAAATGTATAGGCTCTTCATCTTATTGTGTGTGTGGTTTTTTTTTTTCCCTTTTAGTTATTTGTCAAGGTATAAAGAACTCTATCACTCTTAAGACAGTAAACTTCACGGGGTGTAATCTGACATGGCAGGGAGCAGATCACATGGCCAAGATCTTAAAGGTGATTTTATGTTTAAACTTTCATGAAAACATATGTGATTGAAGCACATTAACATATTGATACAGATGGCAGTTCATTTTTGTGTGATACCTGTGAGTGCAGCTTTAGTTTTGTTGAAAGAATGTGACCAGTTTTCAGTTTGGGATTCTACCATTTAGTAAAGATAGTCCACTTAAATTTAGAAATCAGACATTTAATATATAATACATAATAATACTTTCATGTATTTTTAGTTACTGAAAACATTGATTGTGATGCTGTGCAGAAACTGTGCCATTATAGTCTTCAAGACTTAAATGAATCCAGTGTTTATTAGCTGATGTAGTTTATAAACTAATAAAAATCACTACATCAGCAATTTGTAAATACAGTTTTTAAAATAATGCCGTAACAACTTTACAGTGGTTATAATTACTGTATTTAGGCTTAAAGTTATTTAATAATTTTACATGAAGCCTTTTTAATAGTTTGCTGGTGCAGATCAGGGATAGGTAAACTATGGCTGGTGGGCCAGATCCAGCCCGTCGCCTGGTTTTGTAAAGAAAGGTTTTTTGGAACATAGTCGCACCCATTGTTTACATGGTAGCTGTGGCTACTTTTACCCTACACCAGTGGGGTTGAGTAGTTGCAACAGAAACTGTATAGCCCACAAAGCTGGCAATTTTTAAATTTAGATTTTAAAAATTGAAAAATTCTTTGAGCCCATACAGGGCAAGTCCATTGACCCCTGGGAATGAAAGCAGTCAAGGACTTGGGTGCCGAAGCCAAATGGCCTAGGTTCAAATTCGCTTTCTCCCATTTCATAGCTAGTGACCATGGGCAAATCACTTAACCTCTGTGCCTCATTATGAGGTTTAACTGAACTCATTTGTATAAATAGTGCCTGGCACATACTAAGCACTGTGTAAGTGATTGCTGTTATTTCTGCTTGTAGCTTTTATAAGTTATTGTTAATAGAAAAATGACACTAATGATTTTCCTTTTAGAGTGTCAAAGGCACTTTGAGTCTTATTTTTTCAAGAATGTAATAAGACTTTTTTCATTTAAAGTCAGTGTTCCCTGTTACCAAAATTTATTTTATAAATATAAAGAATTGAATGTCTTTAAGACAATACTTGTGGTTAAATGTCAAACCATTATTTTCCCAAGGCACATCAAACTGGCTCTGCATAGTCCAGGCCTCTGAAGTTTGTGTGCATACCCTAGGGAGCATGTGAGATCCATTTTTGTAAATATAGTTTTTAAAATAATGCCTGGGACTTCCCTGGCGGTCCAGCAGTTAAGACTCTGTGCTCCCAATGCAGGAGGCCTGGTTTCGATCCCTGCTCAAGGAACTAGATCCCACATGCATGCTGTAACTAAGAGCCCACATGCCACAACTAAAAGATCTGGCATGCCGCAACTAAAGACCCGGCACAGCCAAATAAATAAATAAAGATTTTTTTAAAAATAAAATAATGCCTTAGGAGTTAGGAAAAGAAAATATTAGAACCTGTTTACCTTTGTATCACTTAAAAAATATCTGTGTAGTTTATAATGTACATAAATTATATGTATAGAACTTCGTGTATATTATTTGTTAATAAATAAGATGCATATTAAAAAGTTTTCTTATGGGTTGCCCAGTTAGGTGTTTGGAGACCGTAGGACAGAATGATGAAATTTAGAACCTCAGCAATGATAGAATTTAGAACCAATTTCCTGACTTAGAAGATAAGGAAAATAATTCATGGACTGTAATTGAGTTGTCCAACTTTACGTAAGTGTTCAAGAACAGGTCATCCAGTGGCTGGAATCTAATCACTGACCGACTAGAATCTGGGTCACTGGACTCGTAAAGCAGAACTGACTGTTTAATTTCTCAGGTTGATTCTCCTGGCATATATGCTTGATGTGTGTGTGTGTAAATCTCTGACATAATAAGCCATACTCAGTAGGCACACCGTGTTTCCTTATTCAAGCATCTTAATTTCATCCCATTAAATCTTTGAAGTATCAGACTATCAGAAGGCATGAAGAAACCTGGGCTGAGAGTCTTCGTTACAGGAGACCTGATCTTGACTGTATGGCTGGTTTGAGGCGCATCACTCTGAACTGCAACACGCTTATTGGTGACCTGGGTGCAAGTGCTTTTGCAGAATCTCTTAGTGAGGATTTATGGCTTAGAGGTAAATTCTAAAATTGAAAATATTGAATTTTTAATATTATATGTGCTTAGCTTTTGGCATGATACGTTGTGATAGGATTTTTCTTAAAGCCTCATTTCTCTGACAGCTTTTATTTTGCTTTTAAACTTTCTCTAAGAGTTGCATATATCCTTTATAGAAAATACAGAGTAACAAGAGAACAATTACCTATAATCTGAATACCCAGACATAATCACTGTTCATTTTGGTGTATATACTTTCAGTCTTTTTTTTTTCTATAAATATATTTGTACACTTAGGGATTACAAAAATAGAATTGTAGTATACTTGCTATTTCATATTCCTGCTTTTTTCACTTAATGATGTATCATGTAGTATTCCATTGTATTGATGTCCCATAGTTTAATCAATTCTTTGCAATTAGATTTAGTTTGCTTTTCCCTGTCAGAAACAATGTGAATACGTTGTATGTACATCTCTGTGTCCGTCGGGATTACTTCTGTAGAATAAGTTACTAGAAGTGGAATGACTAAGTGTGACATATTTTTAAGACTTTTGATACACATTGCCAGCTTACCATCCAGAAATGCTATGCCAATTTGTAGTCCACCCCAACAGTGGATGTGAAGCCTCCCTCTCACAAACACTGGCTTGTAGCACTTTTAAAAAACTGTAAAACTACAAAAATGAGTACCTCTCCCTTTTTTATGCAAGTAGGATTACTCCAAATTTTATAACTTGTTTCAGTTAATTTAGTATGAGCATTTTAGCAAGTCAGTAAATTTGCGTTTACTGCATCATTTTTTGTGACTGTTCAGTGTTTCATTATATGAATATGCCACAGTACACATAGCTTATCCATTCTTGTATATAAGCTATGTCCAGTTTTTCAGTTACAAATAGTACTCTGATATATATCCTTACCTATATCTCTGACTATTTATTTTGGTTAAATTCTTAGAAAGACAGTTGTTGGATCAAAAGGGTATAGACATTTTAAAGGCTTTTCTTACAGAATCGTGGCTTAATCTGATAGGAGAATAACCACATTTTATTTTGTATTCATTTGATTTACTAAAGAGGTTTACTGGCTGTTTGTATTAATTTGGCTAGTTGGTTAATTACACCGTGTGTCCATTCTTCTGTAGTGAGAGTTTGTAAGGGTTGTATCATATCCTGTCAGATCCATATGTCTGACTTGCTATTTCTGGGTGTCGTGGGGTGAAAGACTTCAGTTATTTTAATGCGATGGTAGACACAGCACTTAAAAAAAAGACTCATGATAGTTTCCTTTCATGTAATATTTTTTAATACCTGTGCTTTTGTGATGATCCCTTTTGTTTAAATGAGTAGGTTGTTCAGCCCCAGAACTACTAGAAGTCATGATCATTTGTTCTGGTTTTAGTCTGACCTTTTACTGAGAAAGTTCTTGACCATGATACTTTCAAGATAGGTTTTTAGTATGTATTCTCTATTCACACATTCTTTGAATTTGTTATTATTTGTATCCTCTTAGACTTGTCTTTTTGTTCTAAAACTAACAGAACAATGGAAAAGTTGTTACATTTCTTCTATTTTGTTTTCCCCTTTTAACTAGTTTCAAGTGTGATTTGGAGCTCAAGATCATGATCAAAAGAATGCAGTGCATTTCTGAGCTCCACCAGTTTTTGCTTGTGAGGTTTACATGCCACTGCCGCCCTTGCTAATTATGAACTGAGATTCATTTTGTGATGTTTTTTGCTCATAGGTTATATACAGTTATTCTTCAGTTCTTTAATTGTAAAATATGTTGGATGATTTATTGGCACTAAAGGCAGGGTTATCATTGCACATCCAAGAAGAGGTTTTTAAATTAGATTATGCATTATGTGTGTGTGTATACGTTTCTGTTTTTTTCCATACCCAAAATTACAAACCTGCCATGACTGGTCTTGTGCAGGACTCTTCCACACGTGAGAAAATGAGAGTTGTCTATATGTCAAATCTGTATAGAGTTAGCAAGTGACCTTTTGTCTTTCATCCAAAGCACTTGACCTGCAGCAGTGTGGCCTCACCAGTGAAGGAGCAAAGGCTTTACTAAAGGCCCTTGAAACCAACAGAACTCTGGTCGTTTTGGATATAAGAAAAAACCCACTTGTCGGTATGTGGTCACTTTTTTTTTTTAATTGATTAACACCTAGCAAAACAAAAAGAATTTGTTCACGTATTGACAGTTTTTAAAACTTCATGTGTTTAACTTTCCTGATCGTATACAGTTGGTCCTTGAACGACGTGGGGGTCAGGGATGCCGCCCCCCAAGCAGTTGAAAATCTGGGTATAAGTTTATAGTCAGTGGTTCCACATCTGTGGATTCAACCAGCCTTGGATCGTGTAGGACGATAGTACATACTTATTGAAAAATATCTGTGTGTCAGTGGACCCGCGAGGTTCAAACCCATGTTGTTCAAGCGTCAACTGTACTTTTCTAATGTTGCACTTCCTGTACATTTTTAGCAGATAATTTACCAATTAAAGTGAGTTATACTTGTAAATTTTTCTTATCTCTACTCTGAATAGAGGTGAACCTAGATACTAAGCCTGCTTCCACCAAGAGCATTATTTCCTTCTTGTGCAACCTCTGAATTCTTGCAAGGAGTACTTTATTCATTTGTCAGTTTAACAATATTTTTAATACCTTCTGTGTGCCAGGTACGGGTTTAGGCACTAGGGAAAAAGCAGTGAACCAGACAGACAAAAGCCTTGCCCTCATGGCGCTTACATTCTAGTGAAGGAGTTCAGATAGAAATGAGTAAACAGATAAGTAATATAATTTTAGATAGAAGGAAGTGCAGAAATATCTTAATGTAAGGAGAGTGGCGGGGGGCAGGTAGGACTCCATTGGATAGGTTTGTTAGGGGACAGCTTCACTGGAGAAGTGGCATTTGAACGGAGACCTGAATGAAGAGAGGAGCAAGCCATGGAAGATATGCGGTAAGCACATTCCAGGACAAGGAGGCAATGCGTATGCAGGCATGTAGGTGGGTGGAGTATTTAAGGAAAAGCAAGGAGGCCAACATGGCCAGAGTACTGAGTGAAGAAGAGTGTGGTATGACATGAGGTCAAGGAGCTAGCCAGGGGTCTGCTCTTGTAAAGTCTTCAAGGCCAGAGTAAAGATGTGGATTATTCTAAATGAGTAGACGGTTTTGAACTGGAAAAAGGCACGATCCAAATAGTATCTCAATAAGATGACCTGGTATAGAGAATAGACTTGGGGGGATAAAGAAGAGAAATAGGGAGACCAGTTAGGAGACTATCACAATGGTCCAAATAAGAGATGTTTATGGCTTAGCTTAGGCTGGAAGTTTGGAGCAAGTGAAAAGTGGTTGAATTCAGGTTGTGTTTTGAGGGTGTAGCTAACAAGACTTGCAGATTGATTAGATGTGGGGTATGAAGGGAATAGTAACAAGGAGACAAGTCATTGATGATTATGTGTGCAACTGGGTGGTATCACATAGAAGAAGGGAGCTGATGGGAGGAGCGGCTTTTGAGGGAATATCAGGACTTTGGTTTGACATCTTAGATGCCCTTTAGGTATCTAAGTGTCTGGACAATGCTCAGACTGTACTTTCTATCCAAAGGTATCCAAAGCCGCTTTAGATGCAAAATGTTTAAAGTTGTCCTTTGCTGCTGCTAAAATAGTAGCCATTGGGGGCAGTCTGCAAGATGGCATCTTAGGTTTTTGAGGAAGAAATTAGAATACACAAAGGGGGAAATAAGTGTATGATTACGTAATGTAGATTTCATATTTAAATTTATGGGAAGCGCAATAATTAGTTGGCTTTTGGTTTTAAATGGAAATAGCTACTCATTGGGAAATAATTATTCTAATTTCAATTTATTTTACTTTAGATCATTCTGTGATGAAATCAGTTATCAAAAAAGTTCTCCAGAATGGAAGGAGTGCCAAGTCAGAGGTATATAATGTGTTTTAGTTCTCTCGGAATAATTTCTCTTTAATGGTTTGTTTTTCTTTCTTCCTTAAAAGGAAATTATCAAGGTACTTTCTGCCATCTTAAAACTAAGTTTTTAGTCAAATCAAATGGCTTTTCTGTCTTTGAAAATGTTGTGTGATTCTTTAATTTAGGTTCTAAGAAATGCAGATTGAAAACCTTTTATTAACTTAAAATATCTTAATTTCCAGTTAAGATCAAACCCTCATAAATTACCTGGAACTTAAATGGCATATTTATTATTTCTCAGTACCAGTGGATAACTTCTCCATCTGTGAAGGAACCATCCAAAGCTGCTAGACAGAAAAAGAGAACTATAATTTTGGGAAGTGGTCGAAAAGGAAAAGCTACTATTAGAATTGGTAACTTTTTCTTGTTTTTAATGCTACTAGAACTTATACCCCTTATGTTTTCCAGTGTGCTAAAATTAAAACAGCCAATATTAATCACATGCATATTAGGAGGACTATAATTATTTTGATACTTATGAGAATTTATAGAATGTAGATATAATAAATGAATTTAAAGAGATATTAATATTAACCAACATTATTGTTTGGATTTCATAAAAAGTTCATTATTTTGAAAATATTTCCTGGTTGATGATTACTTCTAATACTTTGCAATTGAAATTTGGGGTGCACTTTGATGATAATTTTAGTAGTGGTGCTTTTGAGGGATGATTTTTTTTTTTTTAATGCAGAATTACCTTTTGCGCTATAAGAAACAAAATTTCTTCCCAGTTCCAACCTTCCCATTGTTCCCTTCTTCTTTCTTAGAAATTCTTACCTAAATTTTTGATTCAGGTAATATCTTGTTTCTCTCAATGAGAACAAAAACTTGAAATATGTATTATCCTTATAAAAGACTTCTACAGACAAGTTTATTGACCTAGATGGAACATTTTAGAAAAACATTTTCTAAATGCTTACTGTAATGTGTATTTAATTTTCCAAATGATGGTTAACCCATAGATAGTTAGCCCATAAAATCTAAAATGATAGATTTTACAACTAAGCCTATAATTTTGTTACCAAATGTAATAAAAAGCTTTTAAAACCCTTTAACAATCAATGGAATAAGTTTCACATTTCTCCTGAATATATAAATGTGGTGTAATTCACTTCTACTGATAACGTTTGTGTTGTTTCTAAGAGACCTTAACTTTTTATTTTCTGGGACATATTATCTTTAGTCACAAATCGTCTTTTTTTGTTGTTGATAAGAATGAATAGCAGGAGCAGCATTTGTGAAACCAAATCTAATATGAAACTGACTCTTTCTTGTGAGTAAATTTGAATTTTGAAACAGTAAAACAATAAGGTTTAATATAAAGCAAAATAAATTTATGTTTATGATCTGCCAATTTCCCAAAAAAAGTTTTGTGGTGACTTTAGTTATATACCAGATACATTAAAAATCACCAATGGACAACAACACATCTTTTATTTAGGTGCCATCTGAAAGTTTTAAAAATTTGTTGACTTAATATCACTGAACTGTCCACTTTAAAATGGTTAAAATGATAAATTTTCTGTTTTGTGTATTTTACCACAGTTTTTAAAAAACATGTTGTTTGGGCTTCCCTGGTGGCCCAGTGGTTGGGGGTCTGCCTGCCAATGCAGGGGACACGGGTTCGATCCCTGGTCTGGGGGGATCCCACATGCCGCGGAGCAGCTGGGCCTGTGTGCCACAACTGCTGGGCCCACGTGCCGCAACTAGAGAGGCCACTGCAGTGAGAAGCCTGCACCGCAGGGAAGAGTGGCCCCCTCTCGCTGCAAAGAGAGGAAGCCCATGCGCAGCAACAAAGACCCAACACAGCCAAAAATAAATAAATAAATTTAAAAAAAAATTAAAAAAAAAAAAACATGTTGTTTGAAGATTTTTAGGTTTTATAAAGGTATTGTATTAGCATAAGAATGAAAAATTTAAAAGACCACCTCTAGTCTCATTATCCTATCAAGCAATATTTACATTTTTATTTTCTCTTCCTGTTGTCTATAAACATAATTCCACATAGCTTAAATATAATTTGCCATTCTTATCTTTTCATATTAAATTTAAATTTTATGATTCATAGTTATACTTTTTAACGTTGTAGTCACAAGTTTTCATTGAGTTGGTCAATTTTTTAAATTGGTGAAAAATTGGAAATAACCTAAAATAAACTATTGTAAACATCTTCATAAGTACAGCCTTTTTTTTTTTCTACTTAAAGGTGTATGTTTTTGATTCTCCATTAATCAACTTGCTTGGACAATAGTGTATTAAATAGAAGTTGTTAAGAGTGTTTATTAAATCAAAAAAAAGCTTATGATTTGTCTGCCAGTTATTTCAAGACAGTGATATTTTAATAATCAAATAGTACATACAAAGAAGATTTGTGATATCACTAATTACATATTATTATTAAAAATTTATATCATATGTAAAGCATTCTTAAAACAGCTAAGTTGACTTTTGCTATAATATTAGAAATAAAAATATATATAAATAAAACATGTATATGTAAAACATATTAGGAATTCTATAATATTAGTACCTGGTGGTATATAATAGGGCATCATGGAATGAGAATAAAACAATTAAATTTTTTTTTATTTAGCATGATTAAACAAAGTGGAAATGTAACTGAAGTATACGAGCTCATTGAGCTATTTTAAGAGTAATTTTATTTCTTGGGCTTTTTTTTGTATTTGCCTCAGTTATTTGGAGACATAGAGGTAAGCCAAATCAATGACTGGGTATATAGTTAGATCCAGGTGAGTATAGGGGTGAAATAATGGTGTGAATTGTGTCACATTTATATTGTAATTATGTATGCCTAAAAAAAGATGGGAACTTTTATTAGAAATTTTTTTTAGCTCCTAACAAGAAAAGTGTAATTTTAAAAAATTTTATTACAAATGTATTTTCATTAGTTTCTGAAAGTAAAGGAAGGGTATACACATACAAACCACATGCATATAAACATTTTTTTTTGAGGGTAATTAAGTTAGACAAAATAGAATAGCACAAAATGAACTGAGCTCCTATATATTTTTAAGAGACATGTAAGTCACACAGGATCATGTGGTGATTATCAATAAGCTACACTCTATGAAATATTTGTCCTATATTACCACATGCACTCTATTTTGCACTCCATCCTAATGCTGCTAAAATATAGTAGAAAACAGCAGCATAGCACAGGGAGATCAGCTCGGTGCTTTGCAATGACCTAGAGGGGTGGGATAGGGAGGGTGGGAGGGAGGCTCAAGAGGGAGGGGATATGGGGACATGTGTATGCATATGGCTGATTCACTTTGTTGTGCAACAGAAACTAACACAGAATTGTGAAGCAGTTATACTCCGATAAAGATCTATTAAAATAAATAAATAAAATAACATAAAATATAGTAGATTTGAAGGATAAATATAACCATTTTAACCTATGATGTTTGTTTTCAGTAAATACAAATTAAATATTTAAATGTGAATTTTAATATATGGCTTGTTCTAAATAAAATATTAACACGTAAGTCTGGTTTTTGCTACCAAATATTTCATATAAAGATACTTGACTCTCTACTACTGAAATATAGGATGTCTCCACATTTCACTCTTTTATCCAGTGGGTTTCATTTGTTTTTTGTGTGTTTTCTATATGAAATCAAATGAGCAGTGAATGTTGACAGGCTTATAGGAGGGTAACGTTGACTCACCTACCACTTGTAGTCTTATAACTTTTATTGTTTTTACATAGAAAAATTCATCTTAAATTGAAATTTTGGTCTAATTCTGAAGATTCTGTTTGTCAGAAGTCATGGGTGTGTATCTGTGTTTCTCTATCCTGGAGATTCAGAAATGCCAAACGTGTTCTAAGAGTCAATAAACTTGAGTGTTTCTGCATGATACATAAAATGTATCATTCTTTGGGATCTTTTAAAAATTTATTTTTGCATTTCTGCACATCTCAGTACTTTTGTTTTAGTTAAAATAACTTGTTACTGTAGAGAACTTATATTTTTTAAAAATGCTGGCTCATGTAAAACCTTTTTACAAAAAGATCCTCTTTTTAGTGGCCTTGGCACCATTGTCAAGTGCCTGTTTGATTCCTTTCAAAGTGTACACGTGTGACAGTTGCTCTGTAGACCTTTGGTGCATCTTGATTCCTTCTTATCATGCTTTGTCAAACATAGGCTTGGCCACAAAGAAACCTGTAAGTAATGGAAGGAAACACTCTGCTGGTAAAGAATGTTATGCTCCTGAACCTCTACCACCTGGTGTGTCTGGTTTCCTGCCATGGCGTACTGCAGAACGTGCAAAAAGGAACAGGTAACGTGCTTGCATTCCCTGTCTTTTTCAGTCATTCAGAATTCTTTGTTTTGGAACTTCTATTATGTGGGCAGTCTCTGGTGCTTTCTATAGAGCAAAAAAGATAACTCACACATGGCTTCGGCCTAATGAGCCCTCTAAGGAAGAAAAACAAAAAATAATTGGGAGTTTTAGCTTGTTTCTCAAGTGTCACAACAGAGGTAACCCGTGGGCATCACGAGGAGACTAAAATTATCTCCAATTGTGCAGGTGAGAAAAGTTTCACTAAAGGCAGGTGTAGTTGAGCCAAGCCCTACAGCACAGAAGTAGGAATTTGGATATGTACGAATGGGAAAAAAAAACATTTTAGGCATGGGAAATAGTTTAATGCAGGATGGATGAGAAATATGGAGTAGAGGGCTTCCCTGGTGGCGCAGTGGTTGGGAGTCCGCCTGCCGATGCAGGGGACACGGGTTCGTGCCCCGGTCCGGGAAGATCCCACATGCCGCGGAGCGGCTGGGCCCATGAGCCATGGCCACTGAGCCTGCACGTCCGGAGCCTGTGCTCCGCGACGGGAGAGGCCACAGCAGTGAGAGGCCCGCGTACCGCAAAAAAAAAAAAAAAGAAAGAAAGAAAGATGGAGTAGATCTATTCTAAACCAACTGGCTTAACTCAGTGAATCAGCTTTAGTGAGTCAAACTAGCTTTAGCTGATTACTTATCCAGGGGATAGCTGTTCATAGTAATTTTTGTCATAGAACTGTAAATAAAATTGTTGAACTATAGCTTCAGGCTTGTTAAGTGAAATAGATGGCTCTAGATTATTTTCAAGTGACTTACCTGGTAGTATTCACGAAATTGGAGGTTAACAATTGCTTAAGAAAACAAAGAGAATTGATTTTAAATAGTACTTGAAGTAGTTACTGTGTAAAATATCTGTTCAGTTGCTCATGTTAAATGGATGTTTATAATCCCCATTGGACAACCGACTACTTTTTTGCAAATGGTAATGTGAATTGCTGTTGCATAAACTATAGTGTTGAATCCCCAGTCTTTGCCCTTGAGTTTAACAACCCTGTGGTTTCCTATCTTCTTTCTGAGACACTTCATGTCAGGTCCATCCTTGTCACATGGAGTGGTAAATTAGAGAATGCTTAATATCACCAGTTAAAGAAGTGAGCCTGAAATCTCAACCATCCTGAACATAGGAACTGAAGGGGCCTCTCAGCAGTTCAAAGAGTTATTACCAAGCCAGTCGGCTGAATTCTGTTCAGTTTTCTCCATAGCAGAGCCCTCCAGGTCCTTCTTTTGAGCTTATTTTCATACACAATTCTGTATGGATACTGTACATAATACTAAATAGTTGTATTAACTGGGTTTAACTGGTGATTATTTACATCAAGATATAACTTCATTTTGTTGATATCTTTTTAGGGGTTTTCCATTCATCAAAGCTCGTGATGTATGTAATCGGTTGCAGGTATGTAGCTATCATATTTATAATATATAGGGGGTTGAACTGGGAAAGGGGGATGGTCATTCTTTTTGCTTTTTAAACTGACAGAGCCTTACAAGAAGCATTTCCCTCTCTGAAATAAATCGATTTAAAACTTGTCTGGTCGCTCTCCCAATGCAACTGTGTAGTTGTGTGGATTTGGCACACAACTGGCAGCCTTGTGGTTATGTCTGTAAACAAGGAAGCCTGTTCTCCGGTCCACAAATCAGCTGTTACCCAGTGAAACGAACTTGACTGCCATTTCTGACCCCTCACATGGAGCTGTCATACTCAAGAATGTTCGTATGTTTTCAAGAAATGTTGTTTGTGGGCTATATGTACAAATTCCTGATCTTAAAGCCAATATAAAGCAACATATACCAAACCTCTGCTCTCTCACCAAGGCCACACACATTCCCTCTCTTTTGGCCTCATGGCAAGCTAATACTGTCAGTATCAGATTCTCCTTCCCAGTGGTCTTGGGAGACTGCATAGTTGCTCTGTGAAAGGCAACACTGCTGAGACTGAGAGAAGAGCACCTTGGGTGTCAGTCCTGCCCTTGCATGCCCAGAGGGAGGGGTGTGTGCCTCGTTCTACCTTTGGGATTTTCCTATGCTGCAGGGTTTGCTGCTTGTTGTCAAAATGATGTCCTAGTGACTTGTCTTCTGCGTAGTTATATAATCCCAGTACACTTCTTTATGATCTGTAGACTTTTATGGGGTTGTGACCAGGTCAGGTTTTAAATGTTTGGAAATGTCATATTGAACAACATTGCAGTGGCAGTGAAGCTTGACAGGAGAATTGTATTACTATTACACTAGTTTGGGCTTAAGGGTGATGAGAAGATGAAATTTTTGATGGGTCAGTTTTAGTTGTGTATGTGTACGTGATTTATTTTTTAAAATTCTAATGTTTATTATTCACAGCTTAGATATGTTGACTTTCTGATTATTCTTCTGATTCTTTATCAGTCCCCTTACTGATGAATTCTCCTCCGAAAAACTACATTTTCTTCCAGACTGTTTTTGTCTGATGGTAAAGAATAAATTTTTCATTTGCAGTATAAAGTTGATCTGAGAAAAATGTTTACCTTGGCTCTTCACTTGGCTTCTGCGAAAGAAACTTAATAAAATAATATGGGCAATTCCCATTACTAATCCTAACCATGTACAACAGAGGTCTGAGTAACATAGCAAAAATAAGTTCCTGTAATTTTACTTAGTCATTGCCTGTTTTAGACTAAGGAGCAGTGAGAGACATTTATAAATAATGATACCTCAGATCACTTTTGTTAAATGTTCTCTAATATTTGGTATCTGCTTGTGTTATCTTTTATACAATCTTGTCTTCTTTCTTCAAGCAGTCAGAATTTCCTGTGACTGTGACAGTAGAGAGTCCTTCCTCCTCAGAAATCGAAGAGGTCGATGATTCCTCAGAAAGTATTCAGGAAGAGCCAGAGAAAATCAATTTGAAACAAGAAGCATTGCAGGTACAAAGTTATCACTTTAAAGCTATAGAGAAGATTATTTTTCAAGTGGAAGCCTTATTGCAACACTGCATAGCTTGTGTGAGGGTTCTGTTTTCCCCTCCCATCTGCATTGTATCCCCTTGAATGGTTCCTTAAGCTTAGACCAAGGTGAATGGTGGACATTTGAACTCTAAGAAATAAAAATCAAAACATGTCATTAGTAATATATTTTTCTTTCCTTAGAACCTTAGGATATTAGGTTTAGGGAGAACCTTAGTGATCATACGATAAAGAAATTAAGTTCTGAATATAGTCAGCTGATTCAGTGCTCTTGTTTTACAGATGAGAAAATTGGCAGTTCTAGTTGAACTCTCTTTTTATAAGAGGAAAATACGATCTCATTTTAAATAAAAGTAAAGTTGAAAAAAGTTTTAAGGTTGATATTCTCCTTTCCTAAAATAAAAAATATCAAGAAGCTACATTATGTTACCTAATAAACCTGATATCTAATGTCATGCCATACTTTTGTTTGTATGGACAGAAAAGAAAAATTGATTTTCATAACAAATTTTTGAACCTCAAAAATAATACATTTATTTTATTTCAACTTAAATGCAGAGCTGAAAATTTCTAGTAAATAAGGGAACACCATTTGGGGGGACCTTGTCTTTGTGCTACAAAGTCCATGTTTAATTTTAAAAAATTACTTAATATGATTTTCTTTTCATATGAAACATGAAACTTGACAGGTTTCAGAACTAATTATCCTATTATTGTAGGACTATGGAAATTACTATTTGATTTTCAAAAGAGAAAGTTAGATTTTTATTTTTTTAATTAAAATTAATGATAATATAGAGAAATTTTAAGAAAAGAACTTAGAAAATTATGAAATGTTAGAGTAGGAGTAATCTATAGTTCATTTAGAGTTACCCCCTTTTGTTTTATAAATGAGCACCTAAAATTTGTAGCACGTAAGTGGTTTATTAGTAAGTTGCAGAGTACGACAAGACCCTAGAGCATCTAACCCGCGTTCCTTGTCATTTTACATGTGTTGTGTTCATTTCCTTCACGAGTAGACAAGGAGATTGTATTTCTAAAAGCAATTATAGACACTGGGGAAGACTAAGAAGTTTAAACACTGGGACCACAGAATAGCAGATTCAGAATATGCACTGAGAACCCTTTCAGCTCTTGTCTGTTTTGACAATACACTAAAATGATGGTATCAAAGTGTTTAAGTATATAAGCCCACAACAATCAAGAGATTTCAACATAGTTTTGAAAGACGGAAGACAAGTGGAAGAGTGTGAAACTGAAGCAGTAGAACAGAGGAAAACCATCACCTAGAATATGCACACGGACCACCTTCAACTGAGGAGGAATCTGACCCCACCTGCAGAAGCAGCTCCGTGCTCAGATGCGCATGTAGGAGAGAGGGTGGAGTTAGTTAAAAGCGTGACTCAAATAGGGGAGCTCATTGAAGGGTTGTGTTTGGAGGAGTGGACTCCCAGCCCCGCCCTCACGCTCCTGAAATGAGATGGTTTCATTTTGAAAACAGTGAAACTGGGGAGAACTAAGGCAGCTAGTGTGAGTTTTTACACCCTAGAAAGGAGTGTTTCGGGGGGATGCTATTACAGTTACTCCCAGGTTCTTCCTGCATAAGAAGCCAATCAGTCGTTGACTTCAGGGAGCTTTCTGCGCTCATTCTTAAATAGAAAATAAATATCATTTGCCTGATAGTTGAGTAAAGCTTACAACATGAGAGAGGGGGAAAAAGAGTGAAAGCATATCCTAGTAGGACCAGGGACAATTTAGGGAACAAAATAATTTAAGAAAAGCCCCTAATTAGTATTCTGAGAGAGGTTTAAAAAGAGCTAGCAACTATAAAATAAGACTAGGGGGTTAATTAAAAAGAGAATGGTCAGAAAGCAAAAGAGGTCTCTTGGAAATGAAAATATGGTTGCTGAAATAAATTCAGTAGGAATTTAAAAAATTTCTCAGTGTATAAAAAAGTAAGACATAATGGAAAATGTGATAGAAATATGTTAGAGAGGCTGCATCTGGGAGATCCAACATGTTACTCTTAGAAACTTTAGACCCACAAAAAAAATGGAGGGAAGCTGTCAAAGGGCAAGAAAATTCCCCACAGCTGAAAGTAGACATCAGGCCTCAGACTGAAAATAGCTGCAAGATGAACAAAAATAGACTCATACCTAGACACCATTCATTGTGAAATTTTAAAATACTGAAAAAATAAAATAGAATAAACTACTGAGAGGATACATCCATTCCAGAGAGAAAAATACTGGTCACCTAAAAAAAAAAGTTAAAATCTGCCTTTATCATAGTTGTCATCAGCACCATGGATCCTGGAAGGCATTAGAAAGATACCTCCAAAGTTTTTCAGGCACATAATTTTCACCCTAAGGTTTTGTATCTAGCCAAACTATCAGTCATAAGTGGAGGCTGAATAAGATATTTTGTACGTAATTTGAAAAATTTACCTCCTGTGCTACACCTTAAGCTATTTATAGAAATAATCCAGCAAAATGAGGGAATAAACCAAGAAGGAAGGTAATAGGGGATTCAGTGCAGAGAGCAGCTAGTTTAGATTTGAGAGGCTTCTATTGAGATTGTGTGATTAAGAGCTTAGAAACACCTTGAGACATATTGTACTTACTAGGTATTAGGCACTGTTGGAAGGGAGGAGGGAGAGGAAGGGGAGAAGGAACTTGAACTCCAGAGAAGGAAAGGCTATACTGACATAAACATGAAGCAGACTAAACTATGGTTGATTTTTAACCTACCATTGGTGAGCAAGAGAAGAATCCACTTAGACTTGACACTATAGATGTCCCCCTTTTCAGTGACACACAGGGGTAATGACCACCTATCTAATTTGTGGTCCAAACCAGAACACTTCAATAGTGTAAGGAGGCGCTCTAATGCTGTAATATCAGGACAACAGGTATAAACTGGAACAGCCCAAGGCAGCTTGGGGTATGTGGTCACCCTACACAAGGGCAGTGACACTGAAACAGTATAGAAGGAGGTATAGTCTATACACAGAGACACAGTACATCTGCAGTGGGCAATATTAATTTAATTGTAATAATGGAAATAACTATCTTGGTTTGCAGCTTTTATTGTCAACTTGCATGTAATAACAAATAACTAACCATAACTATACTTAGTATGTATTAGTATTAACTTGGTATGTACTGAAATGTATTGTGTACTAGTATGTACTTAGTATATATTATGCTCTAAGTGTTTTTGCATATATTAACTCATTTAATCCTCTGAATAACCTTATGAGGTTGGTGCTAATATCATTCCCACTTTTCAGAAAAGGAAGCTAAGACAGGGAAGGAACTTGCCCAGACTGTACCTAATTTAGGGCTGAATTGAGGCTTTGCGTTTAGGCGCTCTGCCTGTTCTCTTAAACATTACTCCGTACTGACTCTCAAATAATGGAAGACTTAACTGCACATAGAACAGAATACAAATTTCAACTTTGAGAATGTAAAAGCTAGGTTTGGAAGGTAGACAGGAGGTAGAAAAAAGGGAAGATGGTATGAATGTCCTCGTTTTACAAAGCATGACGTTGAGAGAGTTTATAGTTGATCAACAATGTAGGTTTTTAAGTATATCACTACAAGTCAAAGAGATCATGAACAGTGGAATAACTAATGATGACATAACTTTACTGAGCAGTGTGGACATAGGAAAGAGTGTAAAGGAACTAAACCCTTACTTAGTAAATTAGAAAGTTAACAGATAATATAATGCCTCAAATTTAGTGAGAAAATAGTTATGTAAGAGTATTACTTGGAAATGGAGAAGAATTCAAAATAATGATAGTTGGGCTTCCCTGGTGGCGCAGTAGTTAAGAATCCACCTGCCAATGCAGGGGACATGGGTTTGAGCCCTCGTCCGGGAAGATCCCACATGCCGCAGAGCAATGAAGCCCGTGCGCCACAACTACGGAGCCTGCGAGCCACACCTACTGAAGCCCGCGCGCCTAGAGCCTGTGCTCCACAACAAGAGAAGCCACCGCAATGAGAAGCCCACGCACCACAAGGAAGAGTAGCCCCTGCTCGGCCGCAACTAGAGAAAGCCTGCAGGCAGCAATGAAGACCCAACACAACCAAAAATAAATAAATAATAATTTAAAAGTTTAAAAATAACAATAGTTGACTTAAACCTCGTAAAAAAAGGAAATCCAAACAGCCAGTAAACACGGAAAAGCGTACGACTTCATTAAGTAATAAGAGAAAAGTGAGTCAAAACCAGTGAAACTACATGCCAATCAGATTGACAAATACATAAATAAAGTGTGGTAGTATCAGGTACTGTAGACCTGGAGTACTATGGGAATCTTCTACCCTGCTTATACTGGAGTATAAATCAACACAACTACTTTGGAAAGCATTTAGCACTCTCCATCAACTGAAGGTATATAAATACCCCGTGACCCAGCAGCCCTCACCCCCGCCCTGTGTAAATGCACCAGGATAACCGGTACAGCAGGATTCGTGTGCATTATTTGCATTAGCACAAACTGAAAAAAATACAAATGTCCATTAAGAGTCAAAAATTAAATAAGGGCTTCCCTGGTGGCGCAGTGGTTGAGGGTCCACCTGCCGATGCAGGGGATACGGGTTCGTGCCCTGGTCTGGGAAGATCCCACATGCCGCAGAGCAGCTGGGCCCGTGAGCCATGGCCACTGAGCCTGCGCGTCTGGAGCCTGTGCTCCGCAACGGGAGAGGCCACAACAGTGAGAGGCCTGCATACTGCCAAAAAAAAAAAAAAAAATTAAATAAATTATGTGTATTCGTACAGTGAGAAAACTATCAAGCAATAAAACTGAATGAACTAGAGCTACAGGCAGCAATGTGGATGAATTTTTTAAACCAATGTTGAGTGAAAGAAATAAGATAGAAAAGACTTCATATACTATGATCCTCTACATAAAGTTAGATGTTGACAAAACTAAACTATTTTGTTAGGGATGCATGCAGGTTAAGGGAAATGATTGTCAAGAAATGAGGATGGTGTTTAACTGGGAAGAGGGAAGGAGCTTGTGATGAGAAAAAGATATGGGGGGTTTTTGAGATGCTGACAAGTATCAATACTTTCAGATTTGAGTGGTGGTTATGTAAGGATTCTCTTTTTATTTGACACATTGACAAGTTTTTTTCTGTGCGCTTCTCAGTACGCATATCGTATTTTACAGTTAAAAACCTGTTTAAAGAATCAGTCGCTTCTTGAGTGCTGGATGTGGGAGTGGGATGAGACCATTTCATTTTAAGCCCTTCACTACTGTTTGCGTTCGCATGTTCATTCATTCAGCATTAATTGAACATATTGTATGTACCAAGCACTCTTCTAACTTTATATGTGTTTTAATTCATGTAATCCTCACGAGAGCTCTGTGATATGGGAGCTTATCTCCATTTTATAGATGAGGAAGTTGAGACCTAGAGTTACAGAACTTGTCCAAGGTTATATAGCTAATGGGTAGGGCCAGGCCCATTTGCCTCAGAGAATCTGAATTTTTTAAATATAATCTAAAAGAGAATTTAATTACTAATTATAAGCAAAAAAATTGTACATTAAAGAAGATGACAAGTTTTCATCTATCCAGTTAGAAAAAAACATACAGTCTATCTTTCACACACATACATCTTGTATTGGCAGGGATTTTCCTTATTAAGCAATTATTTATTGACCGTCTACTTTGTGCTAGGCACAGGTGCTGGGGATAAACACTGAATAAAATACACTCCGTTCTTCAAATAACTTGCACTCTAAGTGAGGAAGTAAGCCAACAGTTATAGTGGAAGTTATATACCAAGTGATACATCACTGATGGCAGTATAAAATCTTAGAAATCTTTTGGAAAGAAGTTTGGAGATAGGTACCTCAGAGCCTTAAAAATGTTCATTTGCTTTGATCTCAAACTCATTTTTATGGATTTATTGCAAGAACGTCATTCTCAATATGGAAAAAGCCTTCATGCATAAAAACGGTTATTTTGTCTTATAATATTGAAAAGTTGGAAAGAATTTAAATGTGTAAAATGGTTAACCAGTAAACCCACTCAGTGGAATATTTTGTAGCCCACAAAAAAAATCAAGGTTATGAATCCCCTTATTATATGAGAAATGATTTATTTCAATGTTAAATGGAAAAAAGTTGAACATAAAATTTAATATACAATATGATGGGAGCTTTGTCCCAGAAAAATCACCCTAGCCGGTGTACAGAAGGGAGGAAGGAGAGCAGATGACAGGAAGGAAAATTATTCCAAAGCCTTATCATTAGTCTTACTTAAGTAATAGAATATCAAGCAATTTTACTTTCTAACTTTTTTGGTTCCATATTTCCATGTAAGGGACATGAATTATGAATACTTTGTAGGAGGAGGGTACACTTTTTCACAAAAATTTAACACTGTGTTCTAATTCCCTCCACTAGAGGGAGAAACTATTTCATGTAATTGCACTTTGATGTGCTATTTAGAACCAGTCAGGAATTTTTAGTCTACTTTCCTCTGACTGTGGTGAGGTTTTTTTGTTTGTTTGCTTATTTGTTTAGAATTTCTTTGAAATCAGTTTTAGAAGATTTATTAAACCATTATATAAAAGCAGAGGAATTTTGCAATTTTTTTCCCTTTTTCGCCATTGAAAACTTGGCTGGCTTTAGTAATGAAACATTAAAGAATTTGAAGTTATTAGACTGTCAATTTTTAAAATGTGTTCTAAATATAAAAATATATGTTCAGGGGCTTCCCTGGTGGCGCAGTGGTTGAGAGTCCGCCTGCCGTTGCAGGGGACACGGGTTCGTGCCCCGGTCTGGGAAGATCCCACATGCCACGGAGCAGCTAGGCCCGTGAGCCATGGCTGCTGAGCCTGCGCTTCCAGAGCCTGTGCTCCACAATGGGAGAGGCCACAGCAGTGAGAGGCCCGCGTACCACAAAACAAAACAAAACAAAAAAAAAAATGTTCATTGAGCAAATTTTTGAAAGCAATGAACAACTTATTGAGGGAAATAAAAGCCACCTCTGCATGTACACACACCTGATCTGCTCTTTTGTCTTAAAAAAGTATGAAAAATACTTTGTCTTATCACTAAATACTCTTCTACATCAGAGAATTTGATGAAGCTTATGCACCATCTCCCAGGAAAAACGCACAGATATATTTTGAATGTAGAACTCCTGAAGCCCATTCATTAACTCTGGTTGAGACCTGTTGTCATTCTTTTCTTAGTGGCTTCATAGCGCATTCCTTCATACGGTGAGCTGTTTTTGTTTAAACCAATCCCAATTTGGAGGCTCTTAGCTTTCTTCTAGGGTTTGGTTATAAACAATCTTATGACATCATGTTGGTACATAAATCTTTGCCCACATCTTTGATTTCCTTAGGGTATACTCCTGATGTAGGATTGTTGTTAGGTACCAAAAGCCACTCTCCAGAAAGTGATACCAGTTCCTCTCCCAATGATGGCATATAATAGAGTTCCTCATTCTTTAAGTGATTGTTGAAAGCAGTTAAAATGTATAAATATACCGTACTGTTTTCATAAGTATAGGTATTCTGATTGTGTATCGCTGCATAAGAAACCATCCCGAAACAGTGGCCTAAAACAATGACAATCATTTATTTTATTCACGAACCTGGAGGTTGAGTAGAATATTAATTCTTTTACTACACTCCTACTGACTGCAAACAGTACCTATTTTACTAGCTCACAGTTCCATAGGTCAGAAGTCCAGGCACAGCGTGACTGGGTTTCCTGCTCAGATACACACGGGAACATGTGGGTTCCTTCCTGAGAGTGTTAAAGCATGTGAAATTTAAGTGTAAGACATTGAGCCCCAAACGATGGATGTTCACCATAGTTTGTGTGGGTCACAGAGCTGAAATCAAGATGTCAGTCTGGCTGTGTTAGCATCCAGAGGCTCTGGGAAAGAATGCCTCCAAGCTTCTTCGGCTTGTTGGCATAATTCAGATTCTGCAGTTGCAGGACAGAGGTCCCCATTTCCTTGCTGGCTGTCAGTCGGGGGATGGTCTCAGCTCCTAGAGGCCTCTCGCTTGCCTTCCCTGCTGCAACATTGGACTTCTTTAGAGCCAGCAATGGAGCGTCTCCCTCTTGTCCCTTTTGTACTTCAATTCAGGAAGAGTTCAGGTCTTTTTTTTTTTTTGTGGTATGCGGGCCTCTCACTGTTGTGGCCTCTCCCGTTGCGGAGCACAGGCTCCGGACGCGCAGGCTCAGCGGCCATGGCTCACGGACCTAGCCGCTCCGCGGCATGTGGGATCTTCCCGGACCAGGGCATGAACCCGTGTGCCCTGCATCGGCAGACGGACTCTCAACCACTGCGCCACCAGGGAAGCCCTCAGGTCCTTTTTATGGGGTGCCTGATTAGGTCACATCCACCTAGAATAATCTCCCTATCTTAAAAAATCAACTGATTTTGAACCTTAGTTATATCTGCAAAATCCCTTCACCCCAGCACCTAGATTTAGGGTTTGATTGGATGATTGGAAGGTTTGTGTACTTCAGTAAGTAGGAGTCTTAGGGGCTCTTACAGAATTCTGCCTATTGCAAGCAGTGTCCCCACTTCAAGGACCTGAGTGTCTTAGTTCTTCAAACTCATAAGAGAGTTTATCAGTATTCATTTTATTTCATTGACCTTGGTGATGGGAAGACTACCACCTCCGTGAACAGGAATGGCACCCAGCTTCCTGAGTTCCCAGTGTGGCTCTGCTACTTAGTGGTGTGACCTTGGCTGTTACCCTACTTCTCTGCCTCTGTTTTCCTCATCTGTAAAATAACATGGAGCTAGTGATCATTCTTTCCTCGTAGGGTTTTATTGGTTTTTTTAATATAAACTTATTTTATTTATTTATTTTTGGCTGTGCTGGGTCTTCGTGGCTGCTCGTGGACTTTCTCTAGTTGCGTTGAGCGGGAGCTACTCTTTGTTGCAGTGCACAGGCTTCTCACTGCGGTGTCTTCTCTTGTTGCGGAGCACGGGCTCTAGGCACACGGGCTCAGTAGTTGTGGCACATGGGCTCTAGGGCGTAGGCTCAGTAGTCATGGCACACAGGCTTAGTTCCTCCGCGGCATGTGGGATCTTCCCGGACCAGGGCTCGAACCCTTGTCCCCTGCACTGGCAGGTGGATTCTTAACCACTGTACCACCAGGGAAGCCCCCCTTAGGGTTTTGATGATTAGATTATTTAATGCCCAGAGAACTCCAGGAACAGTGCTTGACTGTAAATTGCTTTAAAAGTGATTACTTTTTTTAAAAAATGCTTTTGAATCTGCAATTATGCAATTCAGTTATGTTAAGCATGTTCATTAATAGGACTTCCTACTATAAAGAGATCCACAAATAAAAATAGAATTTTTCTTTCTTGGTCTTAACTTTTTATTTCTGACTTACTATGTTATACGCATATGGCTTTTATGGTGGGCTGCCACAAATTTATGTTGGAAAGAGTGGGATTTAAATAAATCTTTACTATGCTAATTTGATAGATTTTGATAATTCATTTCACTAGCATGGTATGATATTACCAATAGCAGACTAAAATCTGAGTTCACTTCTGGCTCTGCCCCTAAATCCTGCTGAGACCTATAGCTGGAAAGGCTTTTGGATATTATACTACGCATTATCATAATATTTACTCTGTTTGTTTAGGAAAAACTGGAGGAGTGCCTAAAGCAGTTAAAGGAGGAAAGAGTAATAAGACTTAAGGCTGATAAACGAGTCAGTGAGGTAAACAAGTTTCTTCTTATACTTTTGAGAGTGTTTTGGTTTTATTTTGATTAGATTTTAAGCCATATACACATAGTTTGTATGTAATATGTTGTAATATGTATATAAAACTGTAATATGGACTTTTGCATTTACTGGTATTTAATGATCTATATTCCAGAAAGCATATTTTTTAAAATGTGAAAATTTGGTTTTGTGTGTGTGTGTGTGTGTGTGTGTGCTTTTATATGACATTAGCTTATTTTCTGTTCATGGTTCTTTGATTCAAGAAAGCACTTTTTGTGCATATACTGTATATACAGTAACATAAAAGACATGATGAGACTCTCCTGGCAATGAATTAGGAAAGGGAATCATTTAAATAAATTTAAGATATTGGAAAACTTCTAAGAATGCAATGAAAGATAAAAATATATACTATGATAATTACATTAGGTAATGTACATGAAAGCAGGGCATAATCTAAAAAGTTCTATATAAATATAATTTATCACAGGGTGAGTGTACGGAGGAATTTTTGAAAGTGCATCCATTGGATTGACAGACACTCATTCAATAAATGTTGAGCACCTGCTTATATAAGGCAAAAGGGGCATCATGAACATAATGGCCTTTCTGAGAAATACTAGAGTTGAGCTTACAGGGGGTTTTAAGTGCATAGATGATGAGCGGAAGGGGAAGAGTGCACGAGGGTGAATATTTTCAAGAAGCCAAAGAAAATATTGGTGATCCTACATTTAATAAATTGGGTTGGGTATGATTTAGGACTTTTAAACGTAAGCATTAGATATTTTGCTCACTAAAGTTAATTCTTAACATTCAGCAGAGTTGTAATATGTTTTGTCCAAATAATTCTATATTTCATTTTCTAATTTAAGGGAAACTTAAAGCAGGTAATTTTCTAATGTGGAATGAGTCTTCAGTATGATTTTAACCAGTTAGAAATGTGATCTTTTGTGAAAGTTCATTAATAAAATGATAACTTTGGTTTATTTATATACCACCTAAGCGTTATATAGGAAACTTTGTTGGGTGCCTTTGGGTTTTGGTTATTATGTGATGCGGTCTCTGTCTTTACTGGTGGAGAGTTAGGTTAGTTACAAATTAATTACATTTTGAGTGTTTTAGTTTTGTTCCTTGAAACTAGACAAGGCTACTTTTGATGACAATGAGAAAAAATCATGTCAGACATTTTCAGTTTTCTTTTATAGCTGGAACATGAAAACGCCCAGTTAAGAAATATAAATTTCTCTTTGTCTGAAGCCCTTCATGCCCACTCATTGACAAGCATGATCCTGGATGATGAAGGTGTTTTGGGCAGCATTGAGAATTCTTTTCAGAAGTTCCACGCTTTCTTGGATCTCCTTAAAGATGCCGGGTTAGTTCATTTCTCTTCATGGCATTCTTCTCTTTGTGACTCTAATGGTAGTTTGCTGAGGAACTGGAGCAGTTTTCATCACTTCCATGGGCATATTTTGTGTAATTATAGGTAATATGGTTGACTTTTTAAAATGAGGAATTAAATTTTTTAAGAACTGCAGATAGGGGAGCCTGCTTTGGTAGAGTGGGGAGCCCGTTATAGAAGAGTAACCTGTAGACAGAGTAATTAGTAGGTATAGTTTTTTGTAAAGACTAAATTGAAGGCAATTTTCATTGAAAATATTTGGGAATGCATAAGAATTTTCCTATCTTTTACTTATTTGCTTGTTTGATAAGTTTAAATTAAAGTTATTTTTGTCTTAGACATAAAAATTAGTATTAATCTGCAGAGAAGATATAGGTTAGTGGTTCTCAACTGGGAGCAATTTTGCTGAAAGAGGGAAGTGGAGATTAATAGTTGATGGAGTGGTGTTTTGTCAGTGAATGAATTGGTGTTGGGAAGGAAGGAACAAACACAACTGGAGGAAAGGTGGTAAAGAGGTGTGGGAATGGAGGTGTGACAGGCAGTGGACGAGGTGCGTGGTAGATGTTGAAGCTGCTAGTGAGACAGTGTTTAAAATGGAGCGGTAATAGGTAAGGAGATGGGATGTCCTAGAGGATGAATCTGGAAAGGGCTGAGAATTTGGGGGAGAGAGAGGTTTGTAGTCAGGGGTAGGATGTTGACTTTTAAGATTTTAGAAGTATTTCATGATTGTAGGTCCAGGGAAATCTAAACTGCTCTTACGTGATTATAATAACCTTTGTCTTTTCTCCTTTCCTCCTCTGGTCCAGGCTTGGGCAGCTGGCCACAATGGCTGGTATAGATCAGTCAGATTTTCATTTACTAGGTCGTCCCCAGATGAATTCTACTGTTAGTAGTCCACCTAAAGAAGAAAAGAAGGCACTTGAAGAAGAAAAATCAGAATCAAAACAGGGTGCCCCAGGACAAATGCAAAATATCCAAGTAAGTGGACAGAACAGCACTTAAGGATTCTAAGAGTGATTAGCAAAAAGGAAATGACCAGGTCAGGGAGAAAACAATAATGGTCAGTCTCTAATAGTTCACATGCTCGGGAACTAGAAGACTCTGGAGTCCTTTCCAAATCTGAGATTAGTAAATATGTGCCCATTTCATGATACTGTATTGTTGTAAATAAAAAAACTGGAAGTTCTTTAGAAAATTTATGAGTTAAAGCAAACTATTCTTAATGAAGAAAGAAACCATTAGAGAACATATTCCAAATTTTAAATTGTATAAATGTCTATTCTATTCATATTTTATCTAGGTTTCTATTTGTATGCAGTCAGCTTACAATGAAGGAACACTAATGAAGGTACACGTACTGATATAGATAATTTTTAAAATAAGTAATTCAGACATACCTAATAGGTAACATATTATAGTGACTCCCCTGGTCATGGGAATGGGAGGGGAAACCTGTCACCTATTCCTCCAGCCTCACTTGGAGCCCCCTTCTCCCACCTCAGCCAATCTCAGACTGGTCTTGGGAACTGAAAGCTTGAGAACACAGTCTGGTCACAAACTATATACTGTTTACATGTGCCTGGAGGATAGAAAAGAAATTAATTTTCTTACAGAGTAGGGTTTATTTTTAGTGAGGGAAAGGAAATGGGTAATAACTACCCCAATCACCAAAGTCTGAAAATATAGCGGACATAGCCTTGGCTATAGCTAGGTTAAGTTGAGAATCACTTGGCAAGATATAATTAGAAAGAAACTGGCTCTGAAATCTTCTGAATAATCAATTGACTGTCTTAATAATAATATCGCAGAGTAACATTGAAGTTTTGAACTCTTCTTTTTAATGGTTGGCTTTGTTCATCACTGAATTTTTGTCTTGTCTTTTGTTTTTCCTTCCAGTTTCAGAAAATTACAGGTGATACTAGGATTCCTTTGTCTCTCGACTCCTTCCAGGTCCCAGTCTCTACTCAGGAGGCCTTAGAAACTTCCAAAGATAACCTGGGGTTCCCAGTCACAGAGCAGCGGCAGGAGTCTTTTGAAGATTTCATTGCTAGAACATGTCCTCCTTCAGCAGATGTCATTTCTGGAACTGGAAGTCAAAGAAAAGAAGAGGAGTTATCTAGAAATAGCAGGTCTTCTTCAGAGAAAATGACCAAAGCAGGTGAATATACCAAAAAATACTCTGCTAAGAAACAACCTGGGAAGGACCTGCATTCCTCCTCCGACTCACCTGTAAAGCAGAAAAACAAAGAAATTGGGCAAAATAATTCTTTGGTTAATAAAGCAATTAAAAGTGAGTCTTCGAAAAAACACATTTCTGTTAAGAAAGAGAGTAGAATAGTGACTGTTTCATCAAAGACAACTAAAAGTAAACGCAGTCTACTAGAACATTCTGAAAGTGATACTCTTGGATCTAATTGTGAATTTCCAGAAAGCATCCATACTCTATCACGCCTAACATAGGTCTAAATCTTTTAAAATTATGTTTTTGCCTTCAAATTTTAATAAATTACTTATGTTTTTAGTATAGCCTATGGTATTTTAAAATACTTGACTGGAAGCCATTAGAGAAAGATTTATCTCTACTTTTTTATTATAATGAAAGTTTGGGTGTATTTTTCCTTGTGACAGTTTGCACCATTCTTCAGCTAGTGTTTACTGAGGGCTTCATATGTACAGTAATTTTCTGGGTGCTATTGCTTTCAGCAGTGAACAAAAAAAAGCCTTTACTCTCCTGGAACTAACACTCTGGTGGGAGAAAACATAAACAACAAAGCAGTGTAAGGGGTAAAAAGAGATGGGAATAATAAATGGAATAGTTTTACCATTTGGTTAACTGTCAAACTATTATAAATCGTATGGCCAGAAGCCATTGACATATTTTAATTCACAATAACCAGAGAGCATCAAACAATTTACCAAGGCACTTAACCGTGGTTATGGATTACAGCAACGCTTGAGGTAGGGAACTGTTACCATCCCCATTTACAGATGAGGAGTCTGAGGAGACATTATGTGAGTTGCCCAGAATTACACAGCTGTAAGTGGGAAGCTGGGATGTGACCAGAACCCATGCTCTTTTTTTTTTAATGTATGGGCTTTATTATGTTTCATTTGTTTCTGATTTATTATGTTTCATTTGTTTCTGATTTATGTGATTTTTTTTTAAAGATTTTTTTTGATGTCGACCATTTTTAAAGTCTTTATTGAATTTGTTACAGTATTGTTTCTGTTTTATGTTTTGGTTTTTTGGCCGCACGGCATGTGGGATCTTAGCTCCCCGACCAGGGATCGAACCCTCACCCCCTGCATTGGAAGGCGAAGTCTTAACCACTGGACCACCAGGGAAGTCCCCCTTATGTGATTATTTTTATGAAAATTTTTTAAAATTTTATTTTTTATTGACGTATAGTTGAATTACAGTGTTGTGTTAATTACTGCTGTACAGGAAAGTGACTCAGTTATACATTTATATACATTCTTTTTCATATTCTTTTCCATTACGGTTTATCACAGGATATTAAATATAGTTCCCTGTGCTATACAGTAGGACCTTTTTGGTTTTTTTAAATACATCCACTTTTTTTAAATAAATGTATTTATTTATTTTTCATTTTTGGCTGCATTGGGTCTTCGTTGTTGCGTGCGGGCTTTCTCTAGTTGCAGTGAGCGGGGGCTACTCTTCGTTGCAGTGCACAGGCTTCTCATTACCGTGGCTTCTATTGTTGTGGAGCACGGGCTCTAGGTGCATGGACTTCAGTAGTTGTGGCACACAGGCTTCAGTAGTGACTCACGGGCTCTAGAGCACAGTCTCTGTAGTTGTGGTGCACGGGCTTAGTTGCTCTGTGGCATGTGGGGTCTTCCTGGACCAGGGCTCGAACCTGTGTCCCCTGTATTGGCAGGCGTATTCTTAACCACTGCACCACCAGGAAAGTCCCATGTAGGGCCTTTTTGTTTATCCATCCTGTATATACACCAGTTTGCATGTGCTAATCCCAAACTCCCAATCCAACCCTCTCCCACCCCCTCCCCCTTGGCAACCACCAGTCTATTCTCTATGTCCCTGGTTCTGTTCTGTTTCACAGATAGGCAGAACCCAGGCTCTTAATTACTTTGTTATCCTCTTTCCTTGTTAAGAGAGGAAGGGTTTAAGGAAGGCACCGAGAGAGAAGCCAGTGAGCACTAGAAGTGCAAAACAGTGGGGCTGTCAGAAAGCACACCTGTCTCCTTCCCCTATCGTGAGCAGAATTTTTAAACGGCAGAGTATGTAAGAGTATGTGATGACACATCTCTGGATTAAATTGTGTCTCCCTGGTAAACATGCACAGATAAGTCTTTAGTTCAGCCAGACTGAAAGGTGAGATCAGAGAAAAGCTGGAGTGTCAGATTTCTTCTAGAAGGTCCTGCCTGATTGTTACTAAGAGGGCTACTACAGTTTAGTTCATTAGTCATGTATTGAGTGTTAGAGGAGTGAAACAATGAGCAAGATGTACTTTAGCAGTGGAGTGAGAGGGGAAGACGCACAGCAGATGTCTCATCCTGCACGTGACATGCTATGATGGGCATATTCAGGGCGTTTGGTCAGTGTTTGTGGAAGAAGAGGGGGAGCTGTGAGGCAAAGAAAAGTCATCGAAAGAGGCAGTCCCTAAGCTAAGTCTTAAAGGACTCGTGAAAAACTGGTGAGTCAGCCGGTGAAGGGAAAGGACACTCAAGGCAGAGAGGACAGCGGAAGTCCAGAGCCGTGAGTGTGCGAGGGGTGTGTTACAGAGCCACAGGCACAGGCTCTGGAGGATCAGTGAAGTGTCCCCAGGCAGTGGCAAATGCCCCTAAAGGAGGCAGCAAGGAGGAGAGCGAGTCTTAACCACCCATGTGCGTGGAGCTGGTTTCCTCAGAAAGTAGCTAAGAATGGAAAGGACAAGTTCAGGTGGCATTTTAGACTACTGACGTCAGTATGGATGAGGAATTTGAAGAAGCCTGGAGATAATTATGCCCCACTCTTCTGAGGAGCAGTGTTTTCTATTTTCAAGTGGGACTTTCACGCTGCCACCTCCTCTCCTGTCCCTACTGAAAGGTTTATAGGCCGGCAGAAGGGAGAACCTGGCTTAAGTAAAGTTAATCAGGTTTCTTTACTGTACAGCTTCTCGGGGCTGCTGTAGGCTAGTGTTCATTCTGGATCATCACAGCAGGCGCATGGTACACAGCCATCCTCAAATATATTTGATTGTAGAGTCCTTTTTTAATAGAAGTGTCTAACAACTGGTTCCACCAAACAGCAGTTTGGTAACTTCTAGACCAGGTAATAGCAAGAAGAAAGGGGTCTGAAATAAGGTATAGATGAAGGGAGGAAATAAGTTCTAATTGTATTTAGAAAATTACAAGCAAGACTTGGTCTTGGGAAGTAAGGAAGAAGTAGGAGGCAGAGGCTGGACCCCCATCTGTGTGACTAAGGTTGGGTGGTGGTATCATTGAGTTTGGAAATAGGGAATAAAGAACTGAATTGAGGAAAAGACTTTACTTCTGGACATGTTGAATTTTAAAGCACCTGTAGAATTCAGGAGATAAACTGGTAGATAACTGGATATGCATGTGAAGACATGGAAAGATAAAAATTTGAATGTCATCAGCACATATAAGCAGTCATTAAAATCATGAACATGGATGAGATTTCAGAGAATTGTGGGTACTGTCAAAGTTTAGGTAATAAGCAGAGAAAGAATTCTGGGAAGGAGAGAGGTGATAGAGTTTCAAGAAGGAGGAAGTAGATGACAGTGTCATACTTCAGAGACTGTAAGTGTCCATTGGATTTGGGCAGTTAGGTCCCCAGTGACCTTAGAGCAGTTCAGTGAAGTGGTGGACAAGAAAGCCAGATTGCAATAAATTGAGGGTGTAGGGCAGCCAGGCAGGGCTAGTGAAGACAGTGGGAATAGGCTACTCTGAAGGAGTTTGGATGAAAAGAGAAAATAATTAGCAAAAAAGAATTTTTTAGAATGAGAAGGACTTATATTTTATATGTTGAAATGAAGGAACCGATAAAGAAGATCCTGAAGATGTAGATAAGTAACTTAGAGAATTGGGGAAACATGGAAATATGGATAAGAAAAAAACCTTGCACAGTATATAAAAAGCACTTATATCCTTCGAGTTGGATGGATACTGGTAAGTTTGGGAGGAAATAGAGGTAAGAAGAGATAGAAGTTAAATGAGTTTATACTGATAGCCTCAGTTTTCTTTGACACAGATTTTTCAGAGACATATATACACATACATAATTATAGTTTTAAAATTCATATTTACATGTTTTATTGATCATTTGAAGTGATTCCATTAAAAATTATAAATATGGATACTTTGCTGCTTAATATGTACAATTTCAGTACTTCGTTAAACTTTCAATACTCAACCTAAAGCAATGTCACTTAATTGAACTTAAATATTTTCATTTGAGTTAGAGTTTATGAGCATGTACTTTTACTGAGAAATTACTGTGTACCTTTGCTGAGTGTTTACCAGAGCATACGCAATCTATGCAAACAGGAATTCTGTTTTTTTTTTTAAACAGTGTCAGATGTGATACAGTAGCAAAGAGCTTGTCATCTTGCCCTAAATATGCCATAATTACTTTTGGTCAAAAATTACTGTTGTATGCATACCCAATACTATGGCCAGGAATCAGTCTAATTTCAAATGGATATTTACAAAATAATCCCTAATCTCAAAATAGTAACACTTGATTTTCAGAAGATCAGCAAGATGGTTAATTTTTTAGAAGATCCTGATTATAAACTACATACGAGAACTTAAGGTTTAACATGGATCACTGAACACATTCTTTTACTCTTCCAGAGTCCCATTGAAATGACTGGAGAAATATTAAAACAAAAATAAATTAATAGCAGAGTTGGAAAACCAGAAAATGAACAATGTGGACTTCCTAGAAGATAAAGAGCAGATTATTGAAAGATGAGTTAATTGAAGAGTGGAACAGCTAAGCCATTCCAATCACCTCTTTGTGGAGTACCTAATTATGGAGCTTGCCACCAGGCTCAGGCTAAGAAAGCAGCTCTCTGAAGTGGGGGTCCTGACACAGGAAACACTGGGATTGGATAACAAGGGCATTATCCAAAATGACTCCAAGCAGGAACCGAAGATAAGCTGCCACACTTCTGGTTACGGTGACCTGCCACTCCCTTTATAATCACCAGAGTGCCCATAATCAGAATTTGTATTCATTGAAAGTGAACCAGAATTCTCATTTGGCTGAGGAAAAGCACTTCAAACCTTAGTCTTAGGCCCTCATCTATAAATATGCCAAGAATCATCAAATTTGAAGAAAACCACTAACATAAAAGGAGACACCAAATTAAAACAAAGTAACCTGTTCAAGAAAGTAGTTACTAGAAGAAACAGAAGAAGTTTAAAAATTAGTACAATTAGGATCTTCAAAGAGTCATGGGGATGTTGCATCCATAAAGAATAGGATGCTAGGAAAAAGATACTTAGTTTTTGGAAATTAAAAATACGATTGTGAAAACAGAACATTCAGAAGATGGACTAGATAGCAGAATAGATTCAGTTGAAGCTTGAATTCATGAAATGGAAGATCTGATTGAGAGATCCCCTTAATATGCATTGCAAAGGGATGAAAGATAAAAGTTATGAAAAAGAAAGACTAGAAGAACACGGGAGTTGGCATACAGTAAGTGCACAAATATTTGTTATATAAGATAGTGCAGATATCAGTATGAGCAATGAATCCATGGAAGATTTTAAATCAAAGGAACTGATGATGCCATGTGATCTGTGTTTCCCCTTTATAATCACCATGGATGCCTATAATAAGGAAAAATCTAAGTAAATATTATGCTTATATAAAAATGAAGTGAGCTAAAATTCTAGGCTTTAACATGAATGGAGGCAGGATATAGAAAGTGGAACAGTGTTCAGGATCTTGTCTTATTCAAGGCAAGAATATAGTGTTTACCTCTAGGTGTTGATAGAAAAATATATTTAAGTATATTTGAAGTGAAAGGCATATCAGTAAGGACAGGTTATGTGACGATACTTCAGCCGCAAGCCTGAAATCTTAGTGACTTAAAGCAACATTGGTTTATTTGTGCTCATTCTGTATGCATTTGGCAGATTGGCTAGAAGCCCTACTCCATGTCCCCCTCAACCTGGGAGCCAGCTGACAAAGCATCACTCTTTGGAACATTGCTTGTTACAATACCCAAGCAAAAATAGATTGTGATGCAACATACCCTGACTTAAAGCTTCTGCCTAGATGAACGCATGTCACTTCTCACATTTCATTGGCCAAAGAAAATCACATGGCCACGGCTGAATTCAACTGAGCAGGGAAATGCAGACTTACTGTGTGCCAAGACAAGGAGAGAGAGAAGCAAATATACGTCAACAACTTTAATAGCCCCCAAACCACCAGGAAAGGGGGGATGGAATTTAAAAATCCAAGAAAAGGCAGGAAAGAAGAAAGAAACAAGATAAATAGGAACACACACGAACACACACATACAGACGGTAGCAAGACCAAATGCTTTTCTCACAATAAATGTAAATTAAATTCTGGAATTCCTTAAGCTTGAGTAAAAAAACAACTATGTGCTATTTGCAAAAAAAAAATCTAAAAGACTTTCATGGATTATAAAGAAGTAAACGAGCATACCAGGCAGATGCTAATAAAAGTGTATGTGACTATGTTAACCTCAGAATAAACAATAAATAGGACTCAAGATGAAAACCATTAAGTGGGAGAAAATAAAAGCATTTCGGCTGATAAAAAGTATAGTTTTGCAGAAAGATTATTTGAAATCGGACCTGCAATCTAAAAACTCAGTTTCAAAATGTATAGAGCAAAAACAGAAATACAAGGAAAAGTGAGCAAACCAATTATGAGAGAGACTTTAACACATCTCTCTTCCAAATCAGTGGATCTACTGCTACTCACTAAATAAGAAAATACTGACAGAACCAAGGGCTGGTGAGGATGCAAAGTAACTGAAATTCTGGTGGAAACACAAAATGATGTAGTCCCTCAAAACAGATTGGCAGTGTCTTTAAACATAACCAGCAGTTTCACAAGTTACGTGAAAACTTATGTTCATGTAAAAACATGTATGTGGTGTTTATAGCAGCTCTGTTCATAATCATCAAAAAGTCTTCCTAAAGGTGGATGGATAAACAAATGATGGTGTGTCCACACAATGGAATACTACTCAGCAATAAAAAAGAATAAATTATTAATACATATGTCAACTTGGATGAATCGGAAAGTCATATGCTAAGTGAAAGAAGCCAAAAGGTTACATCTTGATGTAATCTCAAAAGGTACATACTTTATGATTCCATTTATGTAATATTCTTTTTTTTTTGACTGCATCGGGGCTTAGTAGCAAGATGCGGGATCTTCACCAGGGCACGTGGGCTTCAGAGCGCGTGGGCTCTGTAGTTTGTGGCACACGGACTCTCTAGTTTAGTTGTGGTGCATGGGCTTAGTTGCCCCATGGCATGTGAGATCTTAGTTCCCCGACCAGGGATTGAACCCGCGTCCCCTGCACTGGGAGGCGGATTCTTAACCACTGGACCACCAGGGAAGTCCTATTTATATAATACTCTTGAAAAGGCAAAACGATAAGAGACCAGATGAGTGGCTGTCAGGGGTTGGGGTGGGAAGGTTTGGTTACAAAGAGGCTGTGCAAGGGAGTTTCAGTGATGAGCTGTTCCTTGTTCTGGTTGTATTGGTGGTAACATGAATCCATACTTAAGTTAATTTAAGGGAACTGTACCCCCCCCCAAAAAAAAGCATCATTTTTACTGTATAATAATTGTAAAACAAAAATCTCAGGCCTACCCCCCTCCCATCAGTAGGTTAGGAGAGGGAAGATACATAAATATTTTGTATCCATCATGAATTCAAAACATTCTTTATATCTTCTATCCATCAGGAATACAAAATGTTTTCTTGGAAAACTTATGAACTGTTTATAGAAGGGATTCATATAAGGGTAAAAAAGTACAGAATGCAGACCTGTTTGCTTTCATAATACAATAAAACTAATAACAAAAGGCTTGTCCACTTGGAAATTTTTAAATTACCTTTTAAATAACTCATTTTAAATAACTCATTTATAGGGGAATTCAAAACAAATTACAAACTATTTAGAATTAGTAAAAAACTACTTCTCAAAACCTATAGGATTCTGCCAAACCAGGAATTAGAGAAAATTTTATAGATTTTAGTTTTCAGGGAGTAAGAAAACTGAAAATAGGTGAAATAACAATTTAACTTTAGAAGCTAGAAAAAATGATGAACTAGAAGAAAGACATGAGGAATTTTAAATGTTAAAAGCAGAAATTAATAAAATAGCAAAAAAATTTTGATCAATGAAACTAAAAGGTTTTTAAAATAAAAACCAATAAAAGGCAAACCTTTGGAAAATATGACAAAGAAAAATAGCTAGCATTAGGAATAATTTTTAGAAAGATACCTACAAATAGACTTTTTAATTACAAGGGAGTACTGTTTATAATTTACTCCTGATATGGTTGTATAACTTCATTCCAATAATTTTGGAAGACTAGATGAAATGCGCTAACTTAAAAAAAAATAGAGATTCTAAAAATTGGCAAAAGATAGAAAATGTAAATAGACCAAACATCTTAGAAGAAATTGAAAGAGCAGTATGAAACTTTTTTTAAATATAATTTTATTTTATTTATTTATTTTTCACTGTGTTGGGTCTTCGTTGCTGCACTCAGGCTTTCTCTAGTTGCGGTGAGCAGGGGCTACTCTTCGTTGTGGTGTGCGGGCTTCTCATTGTGGTGGCTTCTCTTGTTGTGGACACAGGCTTTAGGCTCGCAGGCTTCAGTAGTTGTGGCTCGCAGGCTCAGTAGTTGTGGCTCACAGGCTTAGTTGCTCCACGGCATGTGGGACCTTCCCGGACTAGGAATTTAACCTGTGTCCCCTGCATTGGCAGGTGGATTCTTAACCACTGTGCCACCAGGGAACTCCCTGAAACTTCTTTTTAAAAGGCAAATACTATTAGGCACATCTTTAAGGAACACATTTATTTGTAAACCATTGCAGAGGATAGAAAAAAGGCATAAAACTTCCTAATTCATTCCATGTGGTTAGCATAATCCTAATACCAAGACTGCACAAATAAAACAAGGAAAAGTATAGGCCAGTCTCAACAGAAGTGCAGAATCACTGTGGCTCACTAAATTAACAGATTAAAGAATACCATATCATCTTCAATGCTAAAAAAAGCATTTGATAAATTCAACATCCTCTGATACTCAACAGTCTAGAAGTAGAAGGAAACTTTCTTAGCATCCCATCTTGCTGACTCAGAAAGAAGACAAAAATAGTACTAAAAAGTAAACTCGATGGAGAGTGAGACAACTATGATTGTAAAGTATTTTTGGACAAAAAGAAACCTTGTAGTTACGTACTGGCATGCTGTTGCAACGAATGAGAAAGCTTGTTAAAGAGGCAGGGCACACCACCAACACCGCAATATCAAAAGCTTCTGTATACACTGGCAGTAACCAATTAGGAAATGCATGGTGGAAAAGAATGCATTCTCTAGAAAAGGTCAGCAGAAATCTAAGGCCTATGTGAATTTTAAAAATCTATACTCAACGGTATAAAAGGAAACCCCCAAAATGGAGAGGCACGCCACATTTCTGTATGAGAAAACCTAACATAAAAAATGCCAGTTCGGGCTTCCCTGGTGGCGCAGTGGTTGAGAGTCCGCCTGCCAATGCAGGGGACACGGGTTCGTGCCGCGGTCCGGGAAGATCCCACATGCCGCAGAGCGGCTGGACCCGTGAGCCATGGCCGCTGAGCCTGCGCGTCCGGAGCCTGTGCTCTGCAACGGGAGAGGCCACAACAGTGAGAGGCCCGCGTACTGCAAAAAAAAAAAAAAAAAAAAAAGTCAGTTCTATCAAATTAACATAAATTCAAAGCAATTTCATATAATCATAGCAAGGTTTTTAAATGGCTATAACAATATAATTATAAAGATCATCTACAAGACAACGCACAAAACAATTTTTGCTATCAAAGCAATCCATGGAGCCAGAGTAAATGAAATAGTGCACTATAAGCACAGGAATAATCAAATAGGTTAAAGGCACAGAACAGAGAATCCAGGAACAGAGCAGAATATATACATATGGGAATTTAATATTTGGAAATGGCATTATAAATAAGTAGGGAAGAGTTGAACTATTCAGTAAATGATGTTGAGATTATTTACTACTTGGAAAACATTTTCTTCTTTCATACCATGGACCAGAAATGAAATCCAGATGAATTAAACATGGAAACATAAAAAAAAGAAGGAAATATTGGAAAAAATCTCTAATAAATGGGTGAGGAAGGCCTTCCTAATCAAGATACAAAGCCCAATATCCATGAAAGAAAAAAAAAAAACTGATAGATTTGATTACCTTAAAAAAAAAAAAAAAAACTTCTGTACACAACTATAAATAGGAGACAAAAGATTGGGGGATTATGTAAAATATAACAAAGTTAGAGATCCTTAATATAAAAGCACCTAGAAACCAAACAAAAGAACAAAAGATATAAAAATATTTTTATAAAGAAGAAATATAAACAAACATGTATAAACTTCCAACTTCATAAGCAGTCAGAAATTAAAATGAATACCATTTTCCCATCCCTTGAAAAGGCAGCTATGAAAGGATTCGTAATAACTAGTGCTGGACATAATGAACACTCTGTCATTGTTGGAGAAGGTAGACGTCCATGTAGCTTTTCAGGTGGACAATTTGTCAGTGTATATCAATACTTAAAAGGGGTCTAGCCTCTGATTTAACAGCTCTGACTGTAGGCATCCAACCTGAAGAAATCTTCACGCAAGTCCTAGGAGTCAGGTATAAGCATGTGTATTGAAACATTTTTTGAAATAATAAAAAATTTGAAACATGATTGTACATAAATGAAGAAATTGTTGAAATAATACATACCAACTTCTACCATGCAATACTCTGCAGCAGATAAAAACAGCTCTATGGTGTGGACATAAAAATATTCCTAAAAAAAAAATATTCCTAAGACGGTGATATGAAAAACAAGTTGCACAATAATACTGAATCACACAATCCTGTTTACGTTTATATGGTTACGAACCCATTTACATATATATGGCATGTGTGTGTCTGTGCGTGCCTAGAAAAACGTCTGTAGTAATGTATATCAAGATGTTGACGGTTTCCTCTGCCCAAGGCACTAGGATTGGGAGAGAAGGAATGAAAGGGGCCTTTACGTAATTTACTTCATTTACTTCTAGGTTATTTGGGTTTTTTTAATAAGTATATTTTTATGGATGACAAGTAATTTTCATTATCACAGAAAACTTGGAAAATGCAAATATATAATCTCTGATACCCTATGTCCACTTATTTTTCAAAATGTGTCTTTCCTAATATCTCTGTAGAAAATGAGCTTTACTATGTAACCTCCTCTCAGAGCTTTGGACCCCTGAGGTGTTCCTACGTAATAGTGTATTTGAACTTTTTTTTTAAAGCCACAACCCAGAGTAAAAATGTATTTTATGCAAAAGGAAGGGTAATTGTCCTGGCCCAAACCTACCTGTGAGCACACATAATGAATGGAACATTTCACCAGACAGTTCTTACTGTACTTCTAGTGACTCACTCTGTGTTCTTTTCTATTGCATTCCTTTAAATAGAATTGTGTTTGCAACCTGCTAAGTGGGTTTCACAATCCACTCACTAATGGATCATGTCCTACAGTTTGAAAACACTGGCTAGAGTGCTTCAAACATTTGCTGTGTCTGTTGCTGACAAAACTGCTGCATGGAGAACCCAAGTCTTTCCCCCGTTTGCTTTGTTATTTTATGGCTGAAAGTCCTTCTCCATTTGTGCATTATTACTTCCAAAGCCCAGCTTTTTTGAGCTCTTTAACTCCCAATAGTCTTAAGGTAACTTACATTAGATTCCCCTTTTAAAAGCCCTTTTGTTATACTGAAAGCTTGAGTTTTCAAATTGACACATCTACAGGAGAAGTCTAAAATATAATTTGGTCAAAGAGTTTTAAAAAACAAGAGGACAAGTGCCCGGTGACTTCAGGCAACCGCTTGGTTTGGGTGGCTGGCTGCTCGCCGGCACATCGTGTACTACAGGGTTGAAAGGGCTTGACCTAAGGCCCATGCTCTCTTCGTAC